GTATCCCCAACTCTGAGCCTAAAAGGAGCCTAATACGTAACCGGTACTCAACAAATGGATCAATGTGAACCCCAAATGCTCTTCATATCACCTCTTACCTACTCTACCAAGCTTTCTAGGCTTGTTCAGTCCCTAACTGCCTCCAGACTTTCTCCCTCTAACCCTTCACCTGCTTTCACTGTTCATTTGATGAGATGTCCATCTTAAAACCTTCTAGAGCTCCCACTGCCAAAGTCCTCTGCAAGCTTTCAAGGCCTTTTCTGATCTAGCCTGACCCACTTTTCATGGTTTTCTCTCTCACTGCTTCATACACTTTTAAGTTTCTGGGCCTTTGTCCATCCTGATTCTTCTGTTAAACACTAAGCTACCTATGCTCTTCTGTGCCCCACAGGATTTTATTTCTGCCATACTACACTTCGTTACACAGGCTCCTACTTGTCCTCCCTGACAATCTTCATCAGCCTAAATCAGGAGCTCTTTCAATGCAGGACTCCTGTTATACATCCATACATCAGGCCTGCAGGGTGCATGGCATACAGCAAGTATCTAATTGACTTTTCAGTTTAAACAGATGCCCAAATTAATTGTAAAAAGCCATGAAAGAGTAAAAACAAATACACAACAAAACATTTCAAAGAGGGATATGTGCTCAGTAATCCATGAATGTTGATAACAAAACAAAAAAAAAAGGTCAAGCACAATACACTAAAGTTAACATGCTCTCATAAGTATCTATGGGATTTGATGCGATGGGCATGGTGGCTCAGTGATACGCCTTGTTTAAAATAACTACAGTAATAACAATAGCCCATATGTGTTGAGGACTTAATCCAGTCACTTAAGCTACATATATTATTTACTATGCTCTTACAGTAGACCTGTAAAGTAAATATTACTATTGTCCCTTTTTATTCACAGAAAAACCAACAAAAATCCAAGGCAAGGAAAGTTAAGAAACTCACCAGACACCATTCAGCTGGTGAGGGAAGCAGGGATTCAAATCCAGGCTTTATGATAGACCACTTTTTCTCAAATGACAGGTGCAATAGAAAAACTTAAATGTAAAGATGTACTACTTTATGGACTAGCAAGACTCAGAGGTCAAAACACGGGAAACAGCAAAACAATGAAGAGGAAAGAGACAAAAAGAGAAATTTCATTACTGTGGCTGCATGATTCTGACAGCCGAGAAAACCACCCACAGTCCTAATACAGACTGTATGACTGGCACAGAGACAAATACAGCAGTAAGAGGGGGCTCAATATTGTTGATACCTGCCAACTCTCATTCTCCAGTGAGCCTGACAAATTCTAGAACCATCTTCCTAACAATTTCATCTCTCCATAGGAAGGAAACAATGAGGAGCAGACACAATGAACTAATTTTAACCAGTAGAGACACTGCTTGATTAAAAGAGGAATGTGTAAAGATAACCTGGTAGAGAAATTAGCTGAGACTTATTTTCCTGTAGGCTATCAGACTGAAAATCAGACAAAGAAATAAGAGGTATTTCTCCTTCATGTTTGATTCTCCCATGACCAATTATGTATTAAACTCCCTGTGAGATTCATATGCTCCCTGCATAGGGTGCTAGTCAAAGGTTAGTGTCGGAAACCGATCAGTGTCTCACTAATTAGAAGTGTGTGGGCAAGGAACCCGGAAAGGCTGGTCAACCTTGAAGCTCTGAAAGGTCAGAGCCAACCACTCCCTGTCTGAGACAATGGTAGCTGAAGCAACTTCCCCACCAAATAATCATGTAAATCCTTTTAAGCTACAAGACTTCAATATGCTACTCAACCTCTGCTTATGGTTTCCTCTTCCCAGGTAAAATGAAGCTAATACTACCTTCTTCCTAAGTCAAAGTTAAATGAGTCAGTAATAAAAGCACTTAGCCTGGCGGGCAGTAAGCACACAATGAACATCAGCCATTCGTATGATTACTGTAAGAGATTTCTCTACCATTCATTACCTGTAATCATCTCGCACTTTAAATTTGTTTGCTGTTGATCCTACCCATCTGCACGGTGCACAATGCAAACCTCGACAAATAGCTCAGTAAAGTGATCCTGCCCTCATTTTCATGTCGGTGTTTCAGGGAACTCCAACTCGCCGACTAACATTCGTAACGCCCTAAAATGTCACTGTGCTAGGCTGAGCTGGACGGAGGCAAAGGGTAGTTTGAGTCAATGGCAAACCTGCCTTAAGAACTGCATGGCCCAGCCTGTGTGGCTCAGTGGCTGAGCATCGAGCTATGAATCAAAAGGTCATGGTTTGATTTCCAGTCAGGGCACATCCTCAAGTAGTGGGCTCAGTCCCCAATAGTGGTCGTGCAGGAGGCAGCTGATCAATGATTTTCTCTCATCATTAATGTTTCCATCTCTCTCTCCCTCTCTCTTCCTCTCTGAAATCAATAAAAATATATTTAAGAAAAAAAGAAAAAAACTGCATGTTCTTTAGGGAACAAAGAGAAACTATTACTAATTTCTCCTGAGCTATAATACAAAGGTTAGGCTGTAACCTGGTTGGCAATGACAAGGAATTGTCAAAACAGCCATAGAAACATGTCCTTCGTATTTTTGGACATCTCTAGATTGTCTGGTGGTATTTAATAAATGGATGTTGGCTGAAACTGTATAGGCAGTAAACAGTACATCTAATGTGGGTTGGTCTTTAAAGTTGGTTGCTCTGGGTTGTGTACACATATTAAGAGAAAAATGAAAGAAAAAGAGGAAGAAAAAAGAATAAAAGAGGTGAGTGTCTAAGCATGAGATGCCAAGATGCAGATGATGGGGGAAAAAACATGAACGTTTGATTACCTTTCACCTCCAGTACATGAAGTGGTGGTACTAGCTGAAGGTGAATGAGTTTAGCAAGCCTGCTTTGGAAATAATGGAAAGATGTTTTCCCCCCCGCAAAGGAAAACAGCTTTATTTTTTCTTATTATAAAAGTAATACACTTTCAATGCTAAAAAGTAAAATTAGAATATATACAAGTTTAAAGAATAAGGAAAAATCACACAAAATCTCCCTATCCAGAGATTGTAACATTTAATGTTGCTTCCTCTAGACTATTCTAAGCATATAATTATATTAAACATATATGTTTTATTGATTTTTTACAGAGAGGAAGAGAGAGGGAGAGTTAGACACGTCGATGAGAGAGAAACATCGACCAGCTGACTCTTGCACATCCCCTATTGGGGATGTGCCCGCAACCAACGTACATGTCCCTGACCGGAATCGAACCTGGGACCTTTCAGTCCGCAGACCAACGCTCTACGACTGAGCCAAACCGGTTTCGGCTAAGCATATAATTATATTAATTGCAACTTTTTTTTTGAAACTGGGATAACACTACACATGCTGTTTGATACTTTTTCTCCCACTGTTCTATGTATCATACTCCTTTCTCCACTTAACATGGAATCTCAAAATCAGTCACAGGGCAGATTTCGGCGGGTATATCCGACACTATACCTGAAAAAAGGAAAATGTGGGACACACTTGGACCAGATGATCCCCACATTCTCGATTGCTATTGGGTTCCACACATCTCCTCTATGCCTAAACCATGTTGGGAGCAGCAGACAGGGCTGCCTCGGTGGGAGGGCAGAGCTGGTGCTCCCACAGCCTGTCTGATGTGAAGCGCCGGGTGTGCAGCACAAGCACATCTGTGGCCTCCGCATTAAACACCTGACTCTGCAGGCTCTGCCGCCCAGCCTTAGAGCCTTTCAGGAAGTCTGCAGGTGGAGTTTGGAGAAGAGGCCCTCAGCTTATGAGGATCCTGTAGGACACAATTTCTGTCCCTGAGCTCCGGGCTCAGAATTCCTTTCAGGTGGTCATTAAGAGTCCATATGTAGTGTGTGATTTCTGAACCTGTTCAAGTCCAGCACGTCCTAAGCTGTAGTAAGCAGCATGCTCTCAGGCAGAGGGGAGAGGACATGTGCCCCAGGGCACATATACATAGGCTGGGCCTAAACCCAGATGGAATGAACAATTTCCATAGCAGCCAACATCTAAAACCCGGTAGCAAACCAGAAGCAAGCCTGTAGAGGACTGATGCAAACTTTTAGTAAAAGATGCACTGAGAAGCTGTGTTCATTTCATGTGATCCTTGTAAGTAAATTACTAGTACTTTGTAATTTCCAGAACCTTATAATAAAAGCACACAGTTTTCTGCGTGTGCACAAGTTTCTCTATGTACATGTGCATCCGGACCACGCAGAAAAAGAAAAGGAAATGTCATACTGAGGCTCTAACCTAGGGAGGCAAGGTCTTCCCTGAGAGTGCTGGATGAAAATAAAAGAGAATCGGAACCAGAGCCCTGTATCACCCCCTTGAGATGAACTGCTTCACCCCTAGCTATATTTCAGGTCTTTACTGCTAGGTAACTTCACTGCATAAATGCTACTATTGAAACTGTCCACAAACAAAAGATTTGAAGAAGGCAGGTTGGATACCAACCTGCTCAGCAACTCCTTTCACTTGGGGCTAAAGCTGAATATCCCACTGGGATATGCATCTGTCAAGACTTATCCACTGTCTGTTCTATGCCAAGCTCTGGTTAAAGTGCAGGTACACAGAGCAAACAGGTAAGAAAATCAATATTTACAGCAAGGAGATAGATGCCTAACATATAGTTATGCTCCATAAATACTGCATCAATACTATAACAGAAATGCGCACAAAAACCAAGATGTCTTCCCAAAGGACATTATTCCTTTGCTGTTGCACAGATGAACCTGACAGCTCACTGTTCTGTACTCTTGTACATAGAAACCGCCCCTAAAAGAATAAGCCATTAGTGAATGTTGCATTACACAGAAACGACCAAGGTTGATGGTGAAAGGGGGGTGGAGAGCAACAGTCAGGAGAAAGGAGAAATATTATCATTTTATATAAAAGAATATTTTAATTTTTGTCCTTAGAAACTATCAAGACTATACATGATTTGAAAATGAGACTATACCAAACATTGGCCAAAGAAGAATGGTCCGCTCTATGCCTTCTCTTTTGTCTGGTCACTCAGAAATATAATGTTATCTGTAAAGAAGCCAGAGTGTAAGTATTATTTTCAGAACACTTTTCCCATCCCATTTAATCATTCCCTTCTAATACATACATACTTCAATGCTATTGCCTAAAAAGATTTTATGCCGATTCTCAAAATACTGAGCAACTATTGCTGTTCACTAGAGGTATATACAATTGGCAAGATAGAGCTCAAAGCTGGGCTTCAGCTGTCAACAATTCAGACTTTGTTAAAACAGGTGGCATATTTCTTGTCTTTCCTGAACAATTAAGGTCTTCTCAGCAATGACTCTCTACCAAGTTACAAATCACAGATTTCAAAGCTTTCAATGCTCAGACAGGTGCCATGAAACAGGCAGCACATCCTCACGTAGAAAAGGACCAGGCAGAACACTCCTCATGCTGGAGGTGGGGGGGATGGACAGTGTTCATTTTAACACTTGGCCTTGTTGGCAAGGATTGATTTATTTATGTTTTAAAAAGAAGTTTGAACATTCACATGGGAGACATTTTATTTTTAAATAATAAAACAAAATGACTTTTTATATACTCATTCTTTGGAAAAGATTTACTAATCAATATTACAAAGAGAGCATTTTTATCTAAGAACATCAGACATTACTCTTAAAATGCTGTTCCACACATAGTTTAGGAGAGTGGTTGGCAAACTCATTAGTCAACAGAGCCAAATATCAACAGTTCAACAATTGAAATTTCTTTTGAGAGCCAATTTTTTTAAACTTAAACTTCTAACTCCTCTTTTTCAAAATAGAATCGCGCAGGCCATAGTATTTTGTGGAAGAGCCACACTCAAGGGGCCAAAGAGCTGCATGTGGCTCGCGAGCCACAGTTTGCTGACCATGGATTTAGAACATGCAAAGGAAAAGAAGTAGTACTTCCTGTATAACTCCAAAAGACCTAAATTCTTTTACCTTTGGAATTATTTAAAAATGGTTATTATATAATGAATGAATATTTATTGATTAGCTAATCTTCAAAAAAAATGGAATATTTTGGTGCAGAATGGTTATTTCAGAAGAGATTGTTAGAATTGCATCACTATGTAAAGACAAGAGTGCCATCTGCTGGTGGTTAGTTTTAAATCACAGACATGATCTCTAAGAGGAAAAAACATGGCCTGTAAAAGAGTTCAATCAAAATTAAACTCTACTCCCTTCAATTCAAATGTCACTAAAGACCTATTCATTTATGATCTAGAAACCTATATGAATACTGGTGACAAGAAAAACACAAAAAGGCAGATAATCTGAAATGCATCCATTTGCTAAGTTCATAACAATTTACACAATCAAAATTAACCCACACATTGGTTTATAGTAAAATATGAAAGTGTTAAATGCTTCATAAATAGTTAAGAGAATTAGAAATTGTCAATTATTATTTTGTTAGAAAGCTTGCTTTCCCACTACTGAAATTATAGGTGTAGATCTATATACCATACGGAGATCTGGAAAAAAGATGTGAACAGTTGGATATTGCCAAAGAAAGAACAGGACATGAAGAAAATGATTTACTCTCAAGACACTCAAGAATTATAAAAACAAAATGGTCAGGAAGAACCTTGTCTAAGGTCTGATAATGAAGGCAGAAAAATACCCATGTTGGTTTTTAAGGTCAATATACTTTCAAAAAAAAAAAACAACAACAACAGTAAGAAAATACATATTGTAATTATTTACAACAAATTGTAATCTAACAATAAGATATAGTGGTTAAGACATGAACTTTGGAGCAAAGAGAAACACTAAAAAAAAAAAAAAAAAAAAAAGCGTTGAAGGATCCCAGGTTTGATTCTGGTCAAGGGCATGTACCTCAGCTGCAGGCTCAATCCCTGGCCCTTGTCAGGTGTGTGTGGAAGGTAACCAATCAATGTGTTTTTCCCACATTGATGTGTGTTTTTTTCCTCTCTCTCTCTCTCTCTCTCTCTCCCTATCCCTTCTACTCTCTCTGAAAAAAAAAAAAAAAAAAAAAAAAAAAATCAATAGAAATATATCCTCTGGTTAGGATTAATAAAAGAGACTTAAGTTCTCAGATGTCCAATCTTCAGAACTGTAAGAAAATAAATTTGTTTGTTTTTTTTTTAATGAGACTTAAGATACATAAAAATAATGTAAGATAATGTTTGGACTTATTGAGCAATCAAGGAACTATGAACACTGTGATAACTGGTAAAAAAAAAAAATTAAAAATGATTTCTTAACTGCACTGTAGCTGTGTTTTAAAATGGAGCCATTTCTTTCAGAAATACCTACTGAAATATTTATGGATGAAATAATATAACATCTGAAACTCATGTCAAAATAGCCCAGGAGGAGGAAAAGTGGCTGGGAGCGTAGATGAAGCAGTATCAGCTCTCAAGTTGACAATTGTTGAAGCTAATTAATTATTGTCTTTAAAAAAAATTTCTCTCCACTTTTGTATGTGTGACATTTTCCATAATGAAAAATTTAATTTTTAAATAATTTTGGCATGATTCAGAAGATCCTAAACATTGAGACATTACTACACTAAAATGTCTTTCATTTCCATCTACTTAATTATAAAAACAAGGTTTCTCGGTGTTTATATCCATAAAAATAAAAAGAACAGAATTAGTTCTTTACTACTGTCTTATTTTACCACTTTCTCTAAGAATTGGGGGTGGGGGGAGAGATAGGGAGGGGAGAAAAGAGCTACCTATCTCATTATAAGATGCATTTCCAATAAAATTTTAGTTTTTACATTTAAATATTAAAGTTGTTTTGGTCAATTACATACTAAAAAAAATTATAATGATAAAACAATGGAGAAGAAATGTAACATTGAGCATCTTAGTGTCAGAATTTAAAAAAAATATTTTAAAATTTCTATTTATGTACCGGTATGTATTTTTCTTTCTAACATAACTGGATGAATAATAAGATTCTTAACTCCCAATCTATTCAGATATGCTTCGGAGGAGAAAATGGGATGGGAAAACAAGTTCAGAGAAAAAGGAATACAGTCATGTGCCACTTGATGACGAGTATAGGTTCTGAGGTTTGGTTTGGTAGGCAGTTCCATTGTTGTGCAAATATTGTAGAGTTCCTTACACAAACCTAGACAGTATAGCCTAGGACACATCTAGGCTGTATGATATAGTCTAATGCTCCTAAGCTACAAGCCAGTACAGCCTATTACTGTACAAAAATACACAAGATTAAGTCAAGCACAAGAAAAAATGATCAATCAAGAGCTGCTGGGTGTAACACCCATTCTATTTATAACAAAGTTTGTTTTAAGAAGAAGACAGAGTACTATCTAAAGTAATGATAAAAAGTAAATACATAAACCAGTAAGTCATTTATTATCATCAAGTATTATATATTGTACATAACTGTTTATGCTGTACTTTTATATGACTGGCAGGATAGGTTTGTTTTGGCACCAGCATCTCAAAAACACATGAGTAATGCACTGTGCTTGACATTACAATGGCTATGATGTCACTAGGCGATGGGAAATTTTCAGCTCCATTTTATTACTAGAGGCTTGGTGCATGACATTTGTGCAAGGGGGGTTGAGGGGATATCCTAAACCTGGCCTGCACCCTCTCGCAGTCCGGGGCTCATCGGGGGATGTCCGCCGCCTGCCAAGTGGTCCTTAGAGGCAGGAGTGGCTCCCACCACCGCTGCTGCACCCGCCAGCCATGAGCCTGGTTTCTGGCTGAGTGGTTACTCCCCCTGTAGGAGTGCACTCCTGCATTGAGCGTCTGCCCCTAGCAGTCAGTGTGCATCATAGAGGCTGGTCATTCCACTAATCGGTTGATTTGCATAGACCTGGTGCACAGATCCCTCAGCCTAGCCTGCAGGGATTGGGCCGAAACTGGCTAACATCTTCCAAGGGGTCCTGGATTGAAGAGGTTGGTTCTTGAGTGACACACCTGGAATTGGGCTCCCCCTTTCTGATTCCGAGTGTGTCACCCGAGAACCACAGCTGCGGAGTCACCACAGCTAGGCAGCTCCTGTGCTCACATCTACCCTCTGGTGGTCAGTGTGCATCATAGCTACTGGCCAGAGCATCTGCCCCTTGGTGGTCATTGCATGCCATAGCTACTAATCCAACTGTTCACAGTCACTTAAGACTTTTATATATATAGATAATACCACTGCTGTGTATGTGGTCCTATGTTGACCCAAACGTCATTATGCGATACATGTCTGCACCATAAAATTTCCAAATGTGGAAGAGCTTGTTCATAGATTTTTTAAAATGATGATTTATATCAAATTGCTATATTTAGATCAATTAATACATTGAAGAATAACAATGTTATATTGAAAAAAATGTTAATGTCAATCTAAAGATGTCCAAAGTTTCAAAATTTTTGTAGAATTTTCAAAAAAGTTTGAAAACTGCTCTAGGGGATAGCTTCTTAACCTTCTTTAAACTCTGTGTCCATCTTTTCTAAGTTATTTTAACAAGAATAGGAATTTAAAACAAAAGCATCATGTTAAGTACCAAAGAGGTTCTGAATAAATCTGCACAAATGTTTAATACCACTCAATTAATGTAACTCTATCTTGCCACATGCTTCTCCTTGTTTAGGCCATATCCTTCAAAGACTCTAGATCCTAGCTCCAACAATAAGAACTGGCACAGATAATTCCATTTATACTCTACTCAACATTACTTGTGAACTAAGACTGTTTGAGTATATAGTTTTCTAAAGATTAGGTAAGTGTAGAAACTCATAGCAAGCCTACAAAGTACACTTAGCATTCTTCTAGTGAGCTGCCTTACAATCTCATTAGCATCAGTATCTCAGCCCCAGTTAAAGTTACTTATAACACAACCAAGTTTTTAAAGAAGGGCAGGAGTAGAAAAGAACCGCTGTTATCATAAGCTTACCAGCTATGATTGTTGTTGCTTGTCGCCTCACATTATTTTTATCCATATATTCACCATAATCTACTTTCCCTTCCACATAAATTCGAGATCTGAAATAAATAAAATTTAGTTTTTAGTCTGGAGATTCTAATATGCTTTACAAGGGAGATTCAGATTGGGGCAGTAATGAGAATACACTAAGGATGAAATATATAATCATACATAACCTCATTTTTGCTACTACTTCATAAAGTTCAAAATTAAGTGTACTGAAACAGAATGTACACACATTCTCATCTCAGTAAAAAAGGACAATGTTTTCATCCTTAAGCTGACTGTGGTCCATAAGGAACTTTAAAAAAATTTGTTCAGAATCTTAAGCTAAAATTTTTTTAAAGTTCTAAAGGCAAAGATAGTGAAAATGAAAGGGTAATCTAGTGACAGCCTTTAAATATCTAGGATTGATTTCCAATGTGTCATTTTCCTTGACCTTTGATTTTGGACTCCCTAATAGATTTGATTTCCCCTTATTTTTCAATTCCTAAAGTTTTCCTCAAAAGACTTAGATAATTAGAATTCTACATAAAGGTTTTCAGCCTAGTATTTCACTCAGAGTTAATTACTAGCACTATTTCTGTACTATCTAAAAGGCTGAGCTAGAAGACACACCAGGTGAAATTGCATAGACATTTTCCTAGAAATTTTCTACATCTGTTTATATGCATATAGGCACATATTCAGACATGCATACATGTGATGAGGTACATAAGAAGGTATGCAGTTATGGGGAAAAAATTGAAATTGTAGTCGCTGCTGAAATTACTTTTTATGAAATTAATTAACTGACTACAACTGCTGTAAAATACACCCTTTTGTCCTGTGGATTTGGAAAAAGCACTTTTTATTCATAATCAATACAGGCATTTCAAAAGGGACCTACGAAGCCTATATAAAAGTCAAATATAAAAAGCTGATGTGAATAGGACCATGATGCCTCAGTGTGTCAGACTTCACACATCCCAGGTCCTCTGCTAAGGCCATCATGCGGAGGACAAGACGCACGACCTGGCTGTCAGGAACTCCTTCAAGGTGTGTTGCAGCCTGGGAACTCCTTCAAGATGTGTTGCCTTGTTCGCAGGGAACTTGGTATGTTTTGCCTTCCTCTGGCCTCATCTGCTTCTACTTATATTCACGTTCTATTTTCTCTAAACTTTAAGTTCTTAGAATGCTAAACCAGCTTTTATACACCTTTTCACACAGAGCAACACATGCATGTACTATTAAGCACGGAATAAATATCTACTGAGTTAATATAAATTAATAGTACTCAGGAACAAAGTAGTTTACACAATTCATGAGAACACTTTTGTCAGTTTTTAAACCATTCAAACTGTAAGATTCTTCCTGCCCCCACTTACCCCTTTTTCACATACTGATATGCCACATCTCTGAGGCCTGGTCGGAATACTGAAATCCTGTGCCATGTTGTCTTTTGACTGACGTCACCTAAATCGCAAGAATAGGAAACAAGGTGACAAATGCCAGTAGAAAAAATGCCAAAGAACAACATGCCTGGCAAAACCAACATCAGAGTGTCAAAGAGAACAAAACAAAGTCAGAGAAGAACGATCTTTTCTCAAAATAACTTATCTCTAGTTAGTTAAAACTAAACAATGTCTTTTTATTGCTGATAAAATTATCACCCATCTTTTATACTCACCCATTTGGTATGCTTCATTGTCTCCTGATTTCCACATCTCATTTGTTGCCAGAGAAAATATTGTGACTGGGTTTTTTCCTTCCACTTGTCTCATGACAGGATCCTGACCAACTCGCCCCAGTAACTGCACACGATTAAGAGCTGAAATGCAATGTATAGATAAAATGCATGCGGTTGAGGGAAGTGTCCTGAAGAGGGAAATCAACTGAAGTAACAAATAAGAAGAAGCTGGGAGGAAAAACAAGTTGGCAAGAAAGGAGAAACTATTCTTAGAGTAGGCCACAGAACAAATATTAAGCTCTTCTTCTTTAAAATACCTTAAAAAAAAAAAAAAAAACTGTATCACTAAACTAACACCTGAGATCTGAAAATCTATATAAATACAAGAAAATATTTCTGTGAAACAATAGGTTTCATAAACTTTCAGTCTCTCAGACAAAAAGCACATAACGCTAGGTAACTTAGATAGCCAACTATGACTCAAGGAAATTATATGGGAGGACAGTGACAAGAGGGAGTGAGTTCTGACTGATAAAGAAGAAGGGCCCAATTTACTCAAGGCCCTGCAGCCTGATGTAGTAAGACCAAGACCCAAGAGGCACATGTGAGCCAAAGGCATGGTGACGAACAGATTATAAAACACCAGCGCGCCCCTGCAACACATCTAAGAGAACATTGCTATAAATATACTATACACTTGGAAATTAGCTACTACTTACATCTTTCCAGAACCAAGCTGCTTGCTACTTCAGACTCATGTCTTACAAATTTATGAAACACCTAAGGCAGAACAAATGGATAAAATGGCTGTAAGTTTTAGGAAATTTCAGGGAAAAGTCAATGCAAACAGAAGACCTACTCACATATGGTCACCATCTAGTCAGGTTACATCCACGAAAAACCAGAGATGTGCTTCCATGTTTTCCATCATACGGTGCCAGAATGACCAAGCAACACTTAAGGGCAGCCTACTACAGAGCCCAAAGGTACCAAGGAGGCTCTAGAGAGCATGCCCAAGAAAGTTACTTTATGGCCCTCTCCTGTTTCTTTTGTGATAACCCTCCTGCTTATGATGCTTCTGTGGCTGCACACAAATGGTAAAATCCAACATATGCTGAAAAAACTCATGTTTTCAATAGGCCAAGAAAAAGGTCTAAGATGAACAGATTCGGTTCCCTGATAAAGTACAAAAGATATGTCCAAATCAGTCTGTCAGAGAAAGGTAGTTGCTGGCACATAACAGCAGCACTCAATGATAACAGTTACCATTACTCAATTCCAGCTAAGTACTTTAGCTCTTATCAATTCATCCTTAGATTATACCTATAAACTATGCAAAATTATTCCCATTTAAGAGATTGAAGAAAAAAAAGTGAAGTTCAGAGAGATTAAGTAACTCACACAAAACCCTACAGGAAGCAAGTGACAAGTCATACCCAGAACCTTCTGACAAAGGACTGCTGCTTCTCCCATGCTCTCTGTTGCCTCCTTAAAGACATTCTAGTCAAGGTTTCCTCCTAAGATATGAGTACACACACTGGGCACATGGCTGGGTTCAGAGGGCTAAACTGTTCATTACATTAGAAAAATCCATGTGCTAAGTGGTAGTACTGTTAATATAAAAAGCAGATGGCCCTAGCTGGTTTGGCTCAGTGGATAGAGTGTTGGTCTGCAGACTGAAGAGTCCTGGGTTTGATTCCAATCAAGTGCATGTAACCCAGTTTCAGGCTCGATCCCTGGGCCTTGTCAGATCCCCAGCCTTGGTCAGGGCATGTGTGGTAGGCAATTAATCGATGTGTCTCTCTCACATCGATGTTTTTCTCAGTCTCTTCCTCCTCCCTCCTTCCCTTCTACTCTCTCTAAAAATCAATGGGAAATACCAAGTGAGAATTAACAACTGCAGCAACAACAACATCAATATGTATCTATATAATGCAGATGTCCACCAATCAAATGAACATCCATTCATTCCCAGAGTACTGTTGACTATTGAATCCTATCACTATGTTTTGGGGCCGAGAGTGGGTAAGAAAATAAAGATGTGAATCAGAACATACTAAAGAATCAAACTGCTAACTAGTATCTGTACCATAATTCTAGAAAGATACTAATTGGAGTACTCAGATAAATCAGGCTGGCTCTTGAGTCTTATCTATACATATAAAAGCCTACGTGACCATTATGACTGAACTACTGGAATGACCAGAATGACTGGTCAACCAGTTGCTATGATGCACTCAATGCAAGAGCTGCCCCCTAGTGATCAGTGCACTCCAACAGCCAACCTCCCGCAGCCCCTCCCTCCTACTGCCCTCCTCAATTGCCCCCAATTTGGGGGGCTGGCCAGCCAACCTTCTGGGGTTCCTCTCCCCAGCTGGCTGGTGCCCCAATAGGCCTGATCACCAGCCAGGCTGAGGGACCCCACCCAAGCACAAATTCGTGCATCGGCCTCTAGTAGAATAATAATATGTTTCATTTTAGGTACACAAAACCCAAGACCTAATAGAAAAACAAATATAGGGAAAGAGTTTTTTAACACTGATAATATTTTTAAATTAAACTTTAACTCTAGATTTTTATATCTGACTTTTATCTTAATACTATAATATTGAGTATTAAGACTGTAGTAACTTTTCCAAGTTTCACACTTCAACACACACAAACACATGTGTTAAAATGTGATTCCAAGAACATAGGGTCAATTCTCTAGAAGGAGGAAGAAGAGAACAGGTTTCATGGAGGAACTGATTCTTAACAGGATGGGGAGTTAAGAAGTGTTATAAAGAAGAATCTATGTCATAAGGAAAAGAGGTAGACTAGGCTGGCTCAGGACTGGCTAAAGTATCTTGAGAGATGAATCAGACTGGGTGGAATGAGGAGGAATCTGGGACAGAGTAAATTGTGATGTCGGGACTTTGGCTGCTCTCTTCAGTATGCAGAGAAGGGTTGGGAGGAAGTTGACTATAACATAGAAGGTAGGTAAGGGTGTGCAGGAGGCAACCTATCAATGATTCTCTCCAGTCATTATGGTTTCTCTCTGTCTCTATCTCTCTCTCTGAAATATATGTAATAATAAAATGGTAATATGCTAATTAAACTGAACAGCTGAACAACCTTCTGGACCTTCTGGATAAAGCCCCTTGCACGAATTTTGTGCATCAGGCCTCTAGTACGTGTGTGTGTGTGTGTGTGTGTGTGTGTGTGTGTGTGTGTGTATACATATATAATTTTTTAAAGAAGAGTTTCACCTTATTCTGCATTATCAAGATCATCCTGCACAGACTATGTGGATGAAAGCAGGGGTTCTGCGAAGAGTCACCTTACAGTGTGATGTGACCCTAAATTCCTTACTGGGTAGGTCATGGTGGGTAGTCAGTCCCTAAGCATATAAGTTTTATGTAGTGAAAAGTTTATATTCCCCTGAAGCATGCCCTGTCCCTTGTTTCTGTGCATTTGGTTAACACACCTTGGAATTAAGCCACAACTACCACCCTCAAGAGAGGACATAATCTTGTTAACTATAATACCTTGTAATGCAATCTTTACCTTGCTTTCTTCCTCTTCCATGTAATCGTCCCTAAATTTCCTTCCTAATCTCAATAGCATCATGAAAGAAGCTGCAAAACTGTTATTCTCCAGAGCGTCTGAGTAATGGTTCACAGGCATGCATTTTGGCTTAAACAAACTCTCTCAAAATTTCAAATAAAAAGGTAGGTGGTCAAAAGAGATACCACATGTGTTATAAAAAAAACGCTGGGTCAAACCCCACAGTTTGACCCAGTGAACAGAGAGTTGGCTTTTAGACTAAAGAGTCCCAGGTTCAATTCTGGTCAAGGGCATGTACCTTGATTGCAGGCACATCCCCAGTTGGGGGTGTACAGGAGGCAGCTGATCAATGTTTCTCTCTCATCGATGTTTCTAACTCTCTATTCCTCTCCCTTCGACTCTGCAAAAAAGCAAAACAAAAGAAACAACAACCAAAAACTCAGTATATTTTTGAAAAAAATGCTGGGACAATGATTCTCAGTCTTTGTATCAATAAAGACTTTAACTGTTGTCGAACTGAACTAAATGTAAGTAACATGTTTTAGTAAGTAATGATTCTCCATTATATATATATATGGAAAACTAGAAAATATTTTTGTTTTAGTGAACATTATTTACACAGGTAAAATCTTCTCCAAACCTCCATATCAAATAAGTACACATAAAGTGGGTGGGCTCAAAGCTCTTTTGCCTCTGAAGTCAAAACCCTGAAGAAATCTAATCAGCACAATTATGGAAAAGTGATTGATTACCTGCAATACAGGTCTTCGAAACATTGCTTCTACTTTTCCTACAATCTAATCTTTAGTCCTTTCCTGAAGGGGGAAAAAAAGGGGGGGGGTAAATTAATATGACATCATATAGCAAGAGCACAAATTCACTAATCCTAAATTTCTAACTTACATTCCTGATATTTACACAATCCATCTTATGAACATAACACATCAACATTCCTGCACATTTGACGAGTGCCCCCACACACACCAAAGGAAATCTTACACCTGTATCTTTTTGAACCCCTTTAACTTCCTCCTCTTCCTCCTCCAACCCATACAAAGAAATCCCTATTCTGAGTTAGTCTCATTTCCATGCTATTGTCTTCTAAATGTTTATTTAAATGCAAGCTCCCAGAGGGTAGGGATTTTTGTCGGATTTACTCACTGTCAAATCCAACCTACCTAAAACAGTTCCTAACACACGGGGGGCTCAAAAATTTTACATTGTCATCAAGGGACTTAAATCTGAAACTTGTTGCTGCAAAAATTGCCTCCATCCCTGTTAGTAAAGACTAAGGGGGAGTCTTGGGCTCCCGGCCTCATCGCCAGGATGGGTAGGTGCCCTTTCTAAAGTGACGGCTCCCAAACAACGAAGGAGTGGGAGGAAACGCCAAGTCCTCCCCGCGCGTGGAAAGAGAAGGGACAGACCGCGACAGCACAGCACCACCTCCCGACCGACCGACGCAGGGCTGCACGAACACCGAGCACAGAGCTCACGCTCCTTCCCGCGCTCACCGGCGCCCCAGCCGCACAGCTCCGAGCCCGGAGGACACTTCCCGACGCAGCCCTGACGCAAGGCTCGCGAGAGGAAGAAGTAACCGGAAAGGCCGTGGCGTGCCTGCTGGAAATGCCGCCGCGGGAAACTCGCCCCATAACGCGTTAGTTCCGGGAGCTTTTTTTCTGGGACAACACCGCCAAGTGGTGAGTGGCGCTGATTTCAAGTTTATAATGAAACGAAATTATTTGAGGAGGTTCCCAACCCGGTCCAGGAGGGGGCGAGGTAGGCGACACAAAAGATAGCTCCTCCTCTGGAAAACACTAGAAAGGTTAATGCAGAAAACAAAACAAAAAAACAACAACAAAAAAAGAGTGGGAATAGGGCTTCGAGCGCAAAGTGAGGTGACATAAAAAAGTGGCAGTCCAGATAAATATTTTAACTCAATGTTTTAAAAAGTCCAAATCAATGAAAAAAAAAAAAAAATCCGTGCTGAGCAAAAAATTAAAATTTTAAATACAAGGTACAAGTATTCTGAGGCGCAAGGAAAAATATGTGCTCCTATAGGTTATGTATTTAAAAAACATTTTTTTTTCAGAAAACTAGGTTACTTGACGAAATATTGAATATTTGAAAGGTAGGTGTATTAAAACTTACAATATTGTTTTAGGTTTAAATATTTTATTTATACCAAAAACTATTATAATTTTACTTTCCTGGCTTTAATGGACATAAAATGGTCAATATTTTCAATATCTACTTCTTATTTCCAGTTGCAAGAATTGCCATGTCTGACATTTTTTTACAAGTGACAATATTTTATAAGTTTTACTAACTTCAGCTTACAGGTCTTGTCTTTATTTAAAATTCTGGTATTTTGTTAACTGATATTTTTATTAATTTAATGTTTTAAAAATATTGCATTAAAATGTCATTAATCTTAAAAGTGGGTTTTTTGACACCCCTTAAATTTTGCCTCATACACCCTAATCTTGGCCCTGATAATGAAGAGGGGTATGGAACCCCACAGATTGCAGAATTCAGGCCAGAAAGGGTCTCCCCCTTATCCTGGCCCTGGTACTGCCCAACTTCTAGAAAAGGAAGGTACCCTCCACATCGTTCTAACACGCAGATTTCCTCAGGACTTAAAACCTTTCAATGCCTATTCTTGCCCTTGAAGGAAAAAATATGGTTTCCAAGACACATGTTAACCCACTCTAAAAGTAGATTTACTAATTGTCATTGTAAATGTAGTCCAACCAAACATGTGGAGAATTTTTAAAAGTTTATTGAGCCAAACTGACGACATATGCCAGAGAGCAAGATCTCCAATGTTCCATAGAATGGAAGTTTTGCAGCTTATTTAATATATTAGAATCAAAGGAGAAGACTTAAGATGCATGAAATCCACTGATGGTAGGTTAAGGAGCTGGAAGAAAGCAGGGGGTGGCAGGAAACCTCTAGGATTCCATAAAAGGAAAAATAGAGAAACATATTGGTGTCCCCCAAAACTGTATGCACACACAATCGATGGAAAAAACAAACAAAAAAAAAATGTGCTGAGCAAATTTTGAATGATTATAAAGACAGTGTTTATTAAAATACACTTCATTTTCAAAATTGAGCATCAGCTGTTGAAGTGGGTATACACTTTTTTGGGGACACCCTGTACTACTTTTACATTGGTGGGTAAAGTATAGTAAGTAACATTTATAGCACATAGAGATGGTATTTGGGAGACAAGATAACAAGTGACCTCACACTCTGATGGTCTTGTGTTCTGGTGCTGAGATAGTGTCTTCCAGGCACAGGAAAAGGAAATTGTCATTTCAAAGGTACTGGAACCGGACAACCAAGGGGTCGGGGCTGTCTGTCATCACATAGTCAATTAGGCAGAGACAGGGTTGAAACATAAGTGAGCATTTATTCCAATAATGTCGGCAGTATAAGAGAGATTCCAGTCACCCACAAAAATCTGCTCTGACCCCATTGCCAGTTGGCTGGTTATATACTCACAAGGGAGAAGATAGCTACATGCAGCTTCGAGCTACAAGTGTAACAGGGAAAGGGGAGGAGAGAGTCTGCAGTCCGGCCTTCAGAGCTCAAAGTCTGCTAACAAGGTGGCTAATCTTCCATGATGTTACAAACAGCTCAGCCCCTTCCTGGGACCAGAGAATGGTCAGTGTTCCTGAGAAAAACTCCCGGAGGTGGTCAGGGTCCAGGTGCAACAACCAAACCTAAGGGTGTCCTGTCTTTGGTCTGTTCTCAAAATGTGTTTCTTACTTGAGTAATAGACCCGTTTTGGCTCCACGGTGTCTCATCTTTTACAGGCCTGTTTCATCCTCGTTTCCAGACTCTGTAAGAACTATCTATCATTAGTGAGGTGAATAATTATTAGATAGCTGTGGTTCTATTCTTATAACATGTCCTTACCCCCTAATGTTAGTAGTATGTTATCCTAGAAGCATAAGCAGAATGGGCAGAGCTCACTTAAATATTGACCTTTGCCAAAGACCTGGGACACCCAGTTAGGAATTTGTGATCAGACAATCCTGTGGGGTTACTTTTGGCAACTGAGTTTGCCAGGCCTATCATGTGCCATCCCTACCATCACCACCACCAACAACCCCTCCCCCACTCCACACCCAAGCTTGTCAAGTTTATTGCACAACCTCTTTTCATTCACAGTATTTTTCTAGATGCTTAATCAAATTTTACTTCCACCTTCACAATTTAGTTTTTGAAATGCCATTGTTAATAAAGATTTGAGGCTGTAAAACAAAGGTTTATTTAGGGCCTAAAGGATTCAAATCCAAACAAGGCAGATTTAGGTAGCAACCCAACTGCACTCTGGAGAGAACAAAGGAAGACAAGGTTTATAAAGGATGTTTATAGCTGGGCCTTGAGCTGAGTTTAGCAACAGATTGAACAACTTAAAAGCTGCTCTGAGAACTGTAGCACAAGGTGGGCCTCACTTCCTTAATTGCCTCCTGACTGTTTTAAGTGACTGCCTTAGCATTGTTTACTCCATTTTATTATACTGCCTTCAGTCCTTGCACAGGTATTAATCATTCTACATTTTACTAAGTTACTACTGTCAGTGTCCTTCAATGATGTCCTATTTAAAAATCCTTCCATTTCAGCGGTTCAGTCAAATGAAAAATTAAATGCGCCCTTCCCTTCAAAGACAGTGTGCCCCCTTTAATCGCTTTGTTAGTGGTACCAAGATTCTCCCAGACCTGAACTTTGGAATTAAGTTTAAAACTTCTCCCTGATTAAAACTTCTCCCATCTATCCAACCATATCCAATCATTTGGCCTTAAAAGGTCTTTCTTCATTATACCACTAATCTCTCCCTCTTTCTTTGTGTTCACAAATAATTTGGTGTGAGAAGCACTGAAAAGGTTATTTAAAGTGAGTGAATGAATGAATTTTAAGAAGTAGAGAGCACAAAGCAAATTGAAAACAGACCCAGTCCCTTCTATACTCAGCCTGTGCAGCTACCTGCTCCTTTGGTGACTTCATGTGGAGCCCAGTAAAAGAGGGAGAGAAACCAAGAGTCTGACACCAGGTGCATTCAGGTCTCACCATAGGACTGGAGAAGACCCTCACAGTAATAGGTGTCAATGACTGAGAATACAAGTATAACCAAAAAGTTCTGGTCTATACATTGCACACTCTTAATAATGTACCTGTTTATAATTCACAAATTGTGGTTGACCTTGCATTGTGCTGCAAAGGGCATGGCTGGATTGGGAGAAGCAAGAGATAAATTAACTTGATTTTAAAACCTTGAACAAAGACTGGTTTTAAAAAATGGCAATGAGCAATATGGAGCACTATACCCATTTAATTGCATGGAAAGAATTGCTATTCCAAGACAGAAGAAAAAATGGTCTGATGGTTTATTTAGTTAAAAAATAACTTTAAAATTAGGCAAAAGAAAATAAGGCAGGAAAAAAAACTATTTACAGGCAAGTTTATTAATATGACATAATTAGCAAATGCCTTTATAACCAATATTATTTTATGTCATAGCCTGGCCATTATAAGCTTTTGGGCCTGTGAAGTTGAGCCTCGAAGCAGACCTGTTAGTACAAACCTTCCAAATTGTTTCACCTATCTACTCCTGAAGTCATTTCCAACATAAATTCCTCACTCTTTGTTAGTTACATATTACAAAGAAGAATGCTATCCCGTATTTGGCTTTGGACAAGATAAAAACGTTTATTTACAAATATTCTATTTCTTTAAAAATATATATATAGGAAAAAGTATTTGGGTAAAATATGATAAAAATCACAGGAAACAAAGCCAAATTCTGATCAAATCAAGGAGAAATTGGTGAGACCCAGAAAATCCAAACCAGTCATAGCAGTTACAGCATGGTCAGGGCAAAGAGATTGAGGGAGAACAATCATATCAAATTTCCCTCAGACCCCTAACCAGTGTTTTTATCCCATAAATTAATAGCCAGCTCAGAAATTTCAAGTTATGTATAGCCTTATTTCTATCCACCTCAAATAATGGTGAAATCATTTAAATCAAATAAATACAATATCAAAGGTGGTGATAGATTCCATTCAGAGAACACAGTAGGAAAACTAAAGTGGCTGAAATTCTTTTACAAATACCATCAGCTAACTCAGGGAACATTTGTTGAAACCCAGGTGCACTTTCTTGTAAGTTGTTACAACCCAACAAAATTGTATTTTTTTCAATGTGCAGGAAGAGTCACTGGGATCCTTCATAGGTAATTAGAGCAACGTCTTGGTCCATGGGTAACAATGAGGGCTGATTCCTTCTCTCCATCTGTTCAGAAGCTCATGCTTCCTCATTGTGTCCAATGAATGTGAGAAATGAGCTATGGATAGGTGGTGTTAGGAATATAACAATACAGGAGATTATGGTAAAGGAGATCCTTGCTAATAAAAGGCCTCAATAGCTTTAGGATCTAGTCTAAATTAGGAGTAGCTTTCGACATCTTTGGGTATTCAAGTGGGTTAATCTTTCCTTTTAGAAGAGGTAGTTTGGCATGGTCAATATATATTGTGGGTTGATGTGAAATGAGTTCTTATGGGGAAGAATCCCCACTGGTGAAGCTTGCAGACTTTTCACTCTTTCCTCCCACTAGCCTTTTGGTGCTTCCTGATCTTGTAAAGGTCCCCGAGACCTCAGAGTCACTGTGGCCTTCCCGAGGCTCCTGGGCCTTCTGGGCTTCTCTCAGTTCCCTAGCAAGGAAAGAGGAAAACCACATGTTACTCCAACCTAAATTAGAGATGTTCATGATCAAAATTACCATATAATTAGAGATTTCTTTTTATTTCAGTATTTATAGAAACAAGCCTAAGCTATCTATACACGGAAAATTTGCGCCTGTGATTGTCTTAAAAAAATGGCCAGCCCACAATGGCAAGTTCAGTTTCCTAAATCCTATTGATTGGGATATAAGTGGTCTTTAAAATAAGGAGGTAACTATAGATTATCCTGTAGTGGAGACCATGGCCATGGGTCAAATCTGACCAGCCACCTGTTTTTATAGATGAAGTCTTATTGGAAAACTTAACCACACCCATTCACTTATGTGTTGCCTGTGGCTGCTTTTACATTATGTTGAGTTATTGCAGCAAAGATCACATGGCCCACAAGTGTAAAATATTTACTATCTGGCTCTTTATGGAAAAGTTTGCCAACCCCTGGTCTAGACAATTTCAAGCAGGCATCTGTCCCATTTCTAATGGATGTCCATTGCTGGTAGTGGCTGATGACAGTCACTTGTGCCTTCATAGCTGGTTTTGCAGAATGTACACACTACACCCGAAGAAAAACTTATATTCCTGTGACTATATATATATATATTGGATTCCACTTTCCTATCTAAAAACAAAACTAGAGCAAAAAGATAGTAAGTTGCTTATTAGGAAATATTGCCTAATTAAAGTCTCCACAACTCATTGCCAATACATCATGGTGTGGCTTTTTCAAGGTAATTATTCTTCAATGGGTTGTATAGCCAAAAGAAGTTGGACTTCTAAGCTTATTTTACACATGGACCCATCTTCTTTTATTTTTTAATAGTGCACAGTGTATGTAAAAATCACTTTAAAATGCCTTCAGAACTTCGCTCAAACATCACTGCCTGACCTTTATACTAGCCTGTCCCATGTGATTAATTCCCTGTCCCATCTGATTAATTCCCATGTGTTTAATGAAGGAATAGATTTATAAATTAATGCACACATGAATATAAGCTTACATGAATAAGTCATCAGTCTGCTTCCTCTGAATAAGTACCAAGAGAGAATTATCTGCCTGCCCCTCAAATTTAATGGGATTCTAAAATCAGTCTCTTCCCACCTTAACTAGGATTACCTGGCATTGGGAGATCACCAGTTTCTTGAACACCTGTTGTCACTCAGAATCCCACTAAGTTTTCTTTCCCGGTTGTATTTCCTTGCATTCTTCACTCTGCTTCCTTTGCATTTATTGAATTTTCTGTCTCAATCACAGAGCCTGTGCTACAAAGGGCTGCATATTGCTAGTCTCTTTGTGGGCAGAAACATATGTATTATAATGTTGGGTTCCACTTGCAGACACAAATTCCACTTGTGAAACCACAAAGCAGTTACTCCAGTCATATCACGTGAGCAGTACATAAAGAACTTCTTAACTTCAACATCCAAAAATCTACCTTTCCAGTGTGGCTGTCTTCATCCTTTCCAAGTTCAGTTGCTTCTGGAGCTCTTCTGTTTTTCCCAAGGTGGGACGGAGAACCCGACTTCTGGCCAGAACTGCTGCCGAGGGTCTCCACCTGGGATCAGGGTGGATCATGCTCTGATAATGTGAGGAAATAGAAGCTTCACTGTTTGGGAAATCAGCCCACCCAAACCCATACCAAACCAGCTTCTGCTGTGGGTTTTGTGAAACTCTACCTATCCTTTGTGTGGAGGGAAGAAATAGATGAAAACTTACCTCCACCCTATCTGGTAGGTCAGTCATCCATACCTCTGACTTTAAGTATCATAGTTTAGAGCCAGTTGGATGATTACTCTAATGCCGTAATTTTATTTTATTTTTTTAAAATATATTTTATTGATTTTATACAGAGAGGAAGGGAGAGAGATAGTTAGAAACATCGATGAGAGAGAGTCATCGATCAGCTGCCTCTTGCACACCCCCTGCTGGGGATATGCCTGCAACCAAGGTACATGCCCTTGACTGGAATCGAACCCGGGACCCTTCAGTCCCCAAGCCGACGCTCTATCCATTGAGCCAAACCGGTCCCGGCTAATGCCTTAATTTTAAAGAGGAAGAAAATGAGGTTCTGAAATAAAGTGACTTGTCTATATCATTGACAAGACCCAGACTAATCCAGATTACTCAACTCTTACTTCAGTTTACTTTTTACTACAATATGCTCCCTTTTCACTTAAGTTAATTAAGGATACCACACCATAACAATATTCCTACAGCACTTATCTTCAGGTGGGTGGTGTCTGTAACCTAAAATGATTTCAATATGGTAGAAAATGCCTAATTATCTGCAGCAATTAGCAGTATCATATAATGAAGAAAACACTTCACCTCCATCTGGGGAGCAATGTTCAAAACCAGTTCCTGTTTACTATGTAGTTCTGAGCAAGTCTCTTTAAAAAAATATATTATAATATATATATATATATTATATAATATATAATATTTTTTAAAGATTATATATATATATATATATATATATGATTTCAGAGAGGAAATGAGAGGGAGAAAGAGATAGAAACATCAATGATGAGGAAAAAAATCATTGATTGGCTGCTTCCTGCACGTCCCCTACTGGGGATCAAGACTGCAACCTGGGCATGTGCCCTCGACTGGAATTGAACCTAGGACACTTCAGTCCATAGGCTGACATTTGGTCCACAGAGCCAAACAGGCTAGGGCCTGGGCAAGTCTCTTTGTTGAAATTTAGCTTCCCTTTCTTGATATGTGGGACAGCGATGTTCACCTTTCAGCTATTGTGAGAATTAAATGAATTAACATATATGTACTACCAGCATTGAGGTATTCAGTACTTATCTATTGAAGTGAAGGGCAGTTTACACATAAAAATAGGTGATTACACTGTGAATAAAAACCACTCTGAGGAAGGGTTTTTCTCCTTTCACGAAAGCAGAAGTGAAGAAGGACAAGTTTGTAACTAAATTTAAAGTTTTCAGGTGAACTGTGGAGCCCAGATGTAATCCCCAAGAGCAGATATTTCTAAGGCTTTTAGGGATCCTAACAAATCCTGTTCCTTAACCCTAAAGTTAGTCTTACATATATCTTTTGTTTTCTTAGTATAAGTCTAAGCTTCTCAATAGTGTAGATTTTTTTTGTACCTCTCTGTTTCAATGTACTATCTTCCTTTCCTAGTTCCTACAGATATCATTGAGTACAAGTGACACATAGATTCCCGAATTGACATTCCCCTTCTTCCAACAGTTCAAATGACTGGTAGTATTGTCAATAATTAATAAGTTAGCTTCTACTTTCTTCTATACACTCAAAACTCAGGTGGTGTGTGTGTTTTAATAAATTGATAATGGTTAATTAAAACCCTGAAATAGGAGCAAAAAGAACAGGTTTGATTTTGGAGTTAATCAATTACCAAACGTGAAATACAAGTGAGCCTGTGTCTCCTCAACTATGCACTTCACAGGGTTGTTCAGAAAGGCAAATGATAAAAATGCAATAGCATATTTAAACCATAACATAAAAGGTATTTATGATATTTTCTAAATGTTCTTGAGATGCTTTCAAACAGCTCTGTCTCTGCTGGGCATTCTGGTCCCGGATTCCCTTTTCCTTTGTCATTGGCTCTGCCAACATCCCCCTTTCCTTTTCCTCACCCACTTGCCATTACATTTAAAAAAAAATCCGTATTTCTATTGTCTCTTCATTTCATAAGAGATATTACCTTGATCAGATTGTAAAATTCTTCTGAGAGCTCCTGAGGAATATCTGGAAGGTTACCCTCGCGGATATAATGCCACTCATCACCATTGCCAGGTAATGACTTTGCTCCTGCAGCCAATGCCATTGTTAATCCCAAGGCAAAAATGTCTCCTTTAGGGAGATGCTGATAATCCTTCAAAACAGAAGACAGGAAGGCCAGTTTGTTTGCCAAGTGAAGAGAGTAGACTAAAATACACTGGTCAGAAAAGTTCGTTCGAATGCATGTGAACTTAAACAGACACATTGGCAAGGTCACATCCTCCATGGTTAGTGCTTTACCTCTAGGAAGATAGAGGATAGAGCACAAATCCACCCAATTAACATCACTGTGCCAGGCCTGACTCCACAGACGTCCTAGAAGGTAGGCAATAAGGAAAGGTCATTTCAATGACCAGAGTTGGTATGCTACCAAAAAGAGAGTAGTAAGATAAAGATGGGCTGGACCAATCAATTCTTTCTTCCTACTAGGCAGTCCAGGAGTTTGGGAATTCTAAGAAATACTAGAAACAGTAAGAGACCTTTACAAAGAACACTACAAATATTGATTAATCCATAAATGAGCATCTTTCTCATGCTTTTTAGAGAAAAATTCTCCAATTTTTGGTCTCCATTCTGAAAAAAAGGGGATAATATCAATTTAAATTATAAATATATACTTTCCATTTCTTTCATTTGAGAGTCAAAAGGTTCAGTGAATTAATAAAATAGTCTGTTTCCCTAATCTATACCTCTTGCAAAATCTCTTTAGCCAGGAAGTGAATATCTCCCTCTTCCACTCTGGGTTTGCTTATTGATGTTGCAAGACCCAAGTCTCCTAAAAAACAAAACAAAAAAGAGTTCCTTATAAGCATGTCTTTCTTAAAATGGGAGTAAATGGAGTCATCAGTATACATTTTATAGGATAATAGAATACAGGTCAGAGTATAAGGCAGACTCACCAATTTTGTATATCACATCAGTAGAGAGAAACCAATCAGCATCATTTTCAATGTCATCTTGGACTATAGAAGAGTCACTTTGTGCCTGATGACAAATGAAGATGTTACCTGCAAAAATACAGAATTGACATAGATAATGATTCCTATGTTTTCTCATCTCGAAGACACTTTTTTACCCGCCACTGCAGCCACCTTCCTCTTCTGTGCACCTGTAACAACAGCACGAAGGACCTCTTCTTCCTTGGAATTTCTAACAGTACTTATGAACAGCTCAGTGATTGATAAGTGAAACTGATGTAAAAAATCGAGTAATGACAGTTCCTTGAGTTTCATATTGATGAGGACCCAAAGCATCCATTTCTGCTCACTTTAATCGGAATTAGGAAGGGTTTAGCACCAATAAACACAGTCAGGATGCAGCCAATATGTTGTCACTTATCTATGTGGTAAATTAAATAATTATTTTCATACTTTGGCTTCATTGAGAAAGTCTTTTCTCTTTGTGTCCCATGTGCCCAGGGAAGAAATGGTGAAAGCTGTTTAATTGAATTTGTTTAGGAGAAAAAATTAAAGAAAAGGACTTTGCCAGCTAACAGCATCTTTGACAGTGATAGACACAGATTCTGACAAGAGGTGGAAAAGAACTAAATACAGTTGGAGGGGCAAAGGGAAGCGTACTGACTCGGTTTGATATCCAGGTGCACCATGCCCGCGTTGTGGATGTACTTGAGCCCAAGAGAAATCTGCAGAAGGATGTCTTTGAGTTTGGGCTCTTCAAAGTGATTGCCAGACCTTGTGTTTTCAGATATAGCATCCTGTAAGCTCCCACCTAGGAAAGAATGACCAAGGATCACAAGAAAATACTGCCTGTCGGGAGAGATTCACCATCCAGCCCTGAACCTGATAGAATCCTGGTATTTGCAGAATCAACCTGCTACTGAAAACCTTCAGGTTGCTGGGGCTGACCCAGAGGTAACTTGTAGGGATCTTGGCAAGGTTAGGGAAGGAGGAGGGAACATTTAATTGGTTTAGGGCTCCAAATGGACAATAGGGGAAATCAGATGATTGCTAGTCTCTAGGAGTTATAATCTAAGTTGTCTAAATCATATCTAATTTATTGTCTCAGTTAAAGCCATAGCTGTATGTTCAAACCTGACCTGACATGCTGGGAGCACAGGGTAAGGGTGGTTGTGGGCAGACAGGGCAGGAGCAAGAAAAGATAAAGGTAGGGAATGCTGTGGGGGGAAGAATGGAAAGAGGTGGAATGAGCCACTGGATACTCTGCTACCTTACAGATACTTTGAATTTAACTTTTATTTAGAGCCGCAGGGCAAAGACTCAACATAAAGTATCCATAACTACAAACAAGACAAGGTAGAAGGGCATGAGTTATTTTCTATGATTAGTTCACATTTGAAAGGTTCAAAGTGTGTGAATTACATTTGATAAATCATAGTTACATTTTAATTGGTAGGTACTCAGTGAAGTTAGAGGACCGCCATGATGGATGGACAGTGATTCCCCATAATCCATCAAATCTAGTCCATCTGGCTTTCAGGGCTTTCTAGACTTCCTACACTTTACTTTGTTAATCTTTCCTTCTGAAGGGGTCCCCTCAGTCCCATTGTCTCCTTACTGTCTGCTAGGCTAGACCCATTGCCAATACCATCTGCTTTGTGCTTGTGGCTGTTTTCCTAACTGGATTCTTCCCTTCCCTAAACTCTCCTAATCCTTCTGCGTGGTCTCAGTTAAGTCTTACCTCCTGCAAATTTTCTCAGGTTACTCTAATAATACTGACTGCTCCCTATATATGGAGCATTGTCACTGTGCCAGCATTTGACATAGATGGTTGCTAATTCTCAAACTACTCCCTTAAGTCATTACTGCAGTCTCTCTAGTCAGTGAGATTAAGTGATATCCCAGCGATCTTACAACTAGTGTGCAGCAGAGCTGGGTGTGTCAACCCCCAGGTCTGTGGACTTCAGAGCCCTGACCCCTCGTACCACTCCACGCTGCCTCTTGCTCACTTTCCTCTTCTCTGGACCCTTTTTATCCATAGTTATACATCTGGCTCTGCACCTAATTGTTTCTTTTTAAAAATATATATATATATTTTATTGATTTTTAAAGAAAGGAAGAGAGAGGGATAGAAGGGTCCCGGAATCAAACCCGGGATCTTTCAGTCCATAAGCCGACACTCTCTCCATTGAGCCAAATCGGTTTTGGCTAATTGTTTCTTGTGTATTCACTGTCACAGAGCCAAGTGGAATAAAGATCCTTGAAGATAAATACTTATCTCACTCTACATTGTTTCTTACCATGGAGCTTAATAATTGTCAGTCCTGTAGGAGGTATTAAGTGTTGGAAAGAATGAAAAGGTGATTTATAATGGGAACAATCACTCCATTTCTTTTCACTTTTTGAAAATTTGAAATCTTTATATTGCCTGAAATCTGTATTGTCTTGCTTTATTGAGTAATTTTTATTTGATATTAACTTTGTTAGTAGCTAGAAGTCATAGAAATAAAAATCAGTATTCTTATAAAGAGAGGGAGTAAAGGAATAAGGTATCTCAGGTCATGAAAGAAAATTGGGAAAAGAAGATGACTAAAAAGTTTCTACCTTTCAATCCTAAGGATAAAGATGGGGTACAAAGGGATTTGTGGTGAGCCTGTTGGAGGAAAACCCCCTCAAAGTTCACAGTTAAGGCTACAAACCAATCAAGCTGTAAGGAAAGAAGGAAATGCCAAATAATTGCTACCCCTCAAATGGTGGCAAGTTTCTATTCAATGTGGTAGTACTTTTTCTACTTTACTGCTGAACTTTCTGATGAAAAATATTTCCGAGCATAACAACATATAACTGCTGTCATGTCAACCCTTTTGTCAAGGATTAGAAGTATGTTAAACCAGAAGACCACTCTGTAACTTAAATCATCCAGAACAACAGTTTTACTGGTTACTGTGTATGTACAGTTCTGAAAGACCCTGGAGAATAGATCTGGAGACACTGTGTTTCAACCCCTGCCTCCTCCCCATGCCCTTACTCTGGTGAGAACACTGAGGCTCGATAAGGTTAAGAAGCAGCAAGAAGCAGGAACAGTCCCCAGACTCAGGAGTTGGCTGTATACATTTACCACCACCCATCTTCTCCCCTCCCTAAAATTGTAGGGACTATGCTTGCATCTTTTAGAATACCTAGCAAATGGTAAAAGGGCGATTAACCATTCAAATCACTAGGGTAAAGTTCTCTCTCTGGTGTTAAGTAAAGTGTGAAGAGAGTGAGAGCTTCTATGTATCAGCTTCAAAAGAAATATGTAATAGCATAAACCTGAAATTCCTTTTCAACTCAACTCATTTCCTCCAGCTCTCTGCTTCTAAGCAAAATTGCAGGGCAGACATTTTAGATATGACTCTGCTACACCCAGCATAAACTACAAGGAAGAGGTAAAGGTTTTTTGTTTTTGTTTTTGTTTTTTGAAGACTTAACAGTTCATCTCCCATCCTGGCCAGGTAGCTCAGTTGGTTAGAGCAGTGGTCAGCAAACTCATTAGTCAACAGAGCCAAATAACAGTACAACAATTGAAATTTCTTTTGAGAGCCAAATTTTTTAAACTTAAAGTTCCTCTAATGCCACTTCTTCAAAATAGACTTGCCCAAGCCATGGTATTTTGTGGAAGAGCCACATTCAAGGGGCCAAAGAGCCACATGTGGCTTCACGAGCTACAGTTTGCCGACCATGGGTTAGAGCATCGTCCCCATACTGCAAGGTTGCAGGTTTGATACCCAGTCAGGGCACATACAAGAATCAACCAATGAATGCAAAATTAAGTGGAACAACAAATCAATGTTTCTCTCTCTCTCTCTTTCTCTCAAATCAATTTTTAAAAAATTTTTATCTCCCTCTCCGTAGATATTAGTCCACATACTTACCATTGCAGTATTCATTCTGAATGATCATGTGGTCATCTTCTACCCATGAAGAGTAATAACGTACCACATGGGGATGATGACCAAGTACTGCATGAGCATAAACTTCATGCAAAATTGAATTCCTAGGAGACAGAAAAGCATTGAGAAAAATCAGGATAATATGCATGCATATGTTTAATTTAAAAGACAAGATATGACTCATTACCAATGGCAGAACACTTATTGAATGTTCACTACTTATTATTTTATCCCTAATTTTCATAATGATGCAGTGAGATACAGTGGCAAGGATAAAAGCTTTAGAAAGGTCAGTGAATGGTCCAAACTCAAGCAAGTAATAGTAGACCTCTGACTAGAACCTTGGTCATCTTGACACTTAAGTCCATGTTTTGTTTTTTAATTAAACATGGCACAAGAAAAGAGAAGGCTTAGGTGGTACTACCTCAACAGCTTTGGGTCTTTATTTTACTGTATTATATTAAAATATCTTGATGGGCTTCACAAGAAGGCCACCATGGACTTGATTATGAATATTGTCATGAGTCTTCTATCTTCTCTATGAAGGCTAGACAGTCAGAGTCAATATTAAACTTGCCAATATGCAGTCAGGGGACACTCTTGGAAAGATGTTTATATGAACATGAAATCCAACACAAAAAAAGAAAACTACAGTATTTAGTAAGTTTCAGTATAAAAATGATGAATTCTAGCCTGGCTGCTGTGGCCTGGTGATTTAGTGTTGACCTATGAACCAGGTCATGGTTTGATTCCTGGTCAAGGCACATGGCCAGGTTGTGGGCTTGATCCTCAGTAGGGGCATGCAGGAGGCAGCCAATCAATGATTCTCTTTCATCATTGAGGTTTCTATTTCTCTTTCCATCTCCCTTCTCTGAAATCAATAAAATATATTTAAAAAAACAAAAGTGAAAATGAAGGGTTCTAAATTCAATAATTTCAGATTCGGCATAAGTTTTAAAAAGTATTTGGCATAGTTTTAATAAAAGAAAAACATTGGCTGAATCTGAAAATGTTCATTATCCTTGAAGAACAATTACTTCTGGAAATGAAATTTAATTCTGTTAATTTTTCCTTCCTTTTAGTCCCTGAAACTTGACTATTAAATTCATTATTCATACAAAGTAGAGATAAACCATGGAGTTAACTACTTGGCAATATTTCTGATGAAACTAAAGGGAAACCATACGATCATTCCATAAGTTTATTAATTATTAAAAATCAGTAAAACCAGTAGTAAAAGCCACAAAAATCACACACACACACACACACACACACACACACACACACACACAAAATGACTTGAAATGATCATGGTATATTTTAAGAAATAACTGACGTCTAATATGGAAAACTCAAAGGTTATAAATGTGAGACAACATACAGTGGAGGGGGTGGGGTGATTTTTTAAAAGTAGCAAAAAATTTTTTTTAATGATATAAATTCTATTATTTAAAATATTTTGACAAGAAAAAGCTTTCCAAATCCAAGTTTGTGTTTCTAGTACATTTCAAAGGTACTCACTCATTTAATGCTTCTGCAACAGAGTTCGTGGAGCATTTTATTGCATAAACACATCCATCCAGCCTCTTAATGCACTTGTAGACTGTACCAAATTCCCCAACCCCAATCATTTCTAACTCCATGAATTCTTTTGCATAGCGGGAAGTCATGTTGGTTTCTCGTAGAACAGATCTCTGAAATATTTTAATGAAAAAGTTAAAATAATCCTTCCTAACATGTGAGCAATAAAGTTGAGGCATATTATATTCCTATATATAATAATAATACATATATATGTTATTGATTTTTTACAGAGAGGAAGGGAAGGGAGAGAGAGTTAGAAACATTGATGAGAGACACATTGATCAGCTGTCTCCTGCACACCCCCTAATGGGGATGTGCCTGCAACCAAGGTACATGCCCTTAACTGGAATCGAACCTGGGACCCTTCAGTCTGCAGGCCAACGCTCTATCCACTGAGCCAAACTGGTCAGGGATGGCCATAATCTTCTTTATCTGTATGTTCCTAGAGGAGACACTTCTACTCACAGCCAGAGCTACCCTACCATCCTCAGCTGAAGCAGTGACTGGGAGCTGGGTAGGACAGGACATGTTAGAGAAAAAACACAAAACAAACAACCTCCCTTTGACAGTAATCTACAGGTCTCACACTCTGGGCTGCTAATTATCTCAAGTTGAATAAACATACTTGTGTTCAATTTGCTTCACCAAAAATCTTAGTCTGGAAAACAAAATTCTCCAATTTATTATTTCAGACTAGAGACCCAATGCATGAAATTCATGCAAGGGGCTTGGCCCTTGAAGCCCTAGCTTTGTTGGAGCTGCCTAGTCTAATTAGCATATTACACTTATAGATTATGTGCTCAGATATAACAACCACTCCCCATACTGGCCAAGTAGCAACAGCACCGATTGCCCAGCTAGTAAAGAACCCCAGGCAAATCATTTAATTTTGAAACGTTTTTTATGTCTGTATGAACCTCAGCAGGTTCATAATAACCACTCCTCAGGGTTCTTTAAAATACTACTCAAGAAAGTGTGTGTGTGTGTGTGTGTGTGTGTGTGTGTGTGTGTGTGGTGTAACTTAGTACAATGCCAAGCACATAGTAACTTCTCAGTCAATGATGGCTCTGATTTCCATACATTATATGAACCTCAATCCAAGCTGACTTATCTCCACAAACCCAACATTTTCCTATTGTCTCCATAAGCATGAATTTTTAAATCTAAAGTTTTAAAAATCTTGACTCTTTCTCGCTCTTCATTTTCAATATCCGGTATCAGTCAGTCTTCATCAGTAAGATCTACACTTTACATTTCCTTATCCAGTCTCAAGCCCTGTTTCCTCCATGTCTAGATTTGCTGTAGCAACCAGCCCTCAATCCATGTCCTCTAATAGTAAGAATTGTTTTTGCAAAATGATACTGTAGAATAGGAAACACCTCATTGTTTTCCATGAGGATTTCAAACTTCTAATCAGAGGCCTCAAGGCTGTCTACCAGTAGCTCGCCCACTCTAATGATTCAGCAATAATGATTCAGCATAAATAAGACAATGTCTGGTAAAGTTAATAACTAGCTAGCCCTGACCAGGTAGCTCAGTTGGTTAGAGCCATCATCAGCAAACTGTGGCTCATGAGCCACATGGGGCTCTTTGGCCCCTTGAGTGTGGCTCTTACACAAAATACCATGACCTGGGCAAGTCTATTTTGAAGAAGTGGCGTTAGAAGTTTAAAAAATTTGGCTCTCGATAGAAATTCAGTTGTTGTACTGTTGATATTTGGCTCTGTTGATTAATGAGTTTGCCAACCACTGGGTTAGAGCATCATCCCAATATGCTAAGATTGCAGGTTTAATCCTCAGTCGAGGCACATAAAAGAATGCATAAATAAGTGAAAGAACTAATAAATGTTTCCCTCTCTCCCCCCTCCTCTATAAGAAATAAAGTAAGAACTAGCTAATAATATAGACCCTGATGCGAGTTCAAATAAATTCATCTGTAAAGCAATTTGCTATGAAGTGCTGGGGCTAGGGGTGGAATGAAGAAAAGAAGGAAGGAGGGAGGGAGGAAGGGAGAGAGGACAGAAAAGAAAGGGAGGAGACAGAGGCAAGAGAATGAAATGACTGTTACTACAGCTGGGCCACAGAACTGTGCTCACCTTGGCAGGCAGCCCTTGTTCTGCTTTGCCTTCCCCTGAATCAACTTCCTCACTTTAAAAAATAAAAAATAGAAAAAAAATGTCAACATATAGTAAGGATTAGCACTCATTGATCCTAGTACCATGCTGGTTTCTGGGGCTATGAGACTAAATAAGACAATTCCTTTCCCTCTTCAATTTATATTTGGGGACAGGGAAAAAACAGACATTTCAATATAAAAACCCAGGTGAGGATAAGAACAAGATATCAAGGTATATGACAGCATCCAATTAATTATTTCAAGCATAAAAGTATTTCCCAAAAGAGAGGGTATGTAAGCTAGGCTTCCAAGAATGAGTCGAAACCACATAAAGGAAAGGAACAGAGTTTTAGGCAAATAGAACAGCATCTGCTGAGCACTGGAGGCAGGGACGCACACAGAACACAAGTGAAACTGTCTGCTCTTCATTGCCACCTACACATTCCCCTTCCTTCTCCCTCAGAACCTGGCTGTATATCTATGAGTTTCTTGGGTAGAACAGAAGTATAGCAGAAGGAGCCTTGACCCTGGCTAAGATATTGTCGATGACCGTTCTTTCAAAAAAAAAAAATTGTTTTAAAGAGACATTTTTTTTAACTACACAGAATTTGGAAACCTTAAATAACAAAAAAATATCAGAAACAATATACAAAGATTAAATAGAAATTGTAAACAAAAATACAAAATAGTTGTAAAAATCCCATTTCTCCTCATCTATAAGTGTAATGCCAAGCTAATAAAAATACTAATAGATTAGCTGAAGTCTCTGAAAAAAATCTCTTTGGCATGATCAGTTGCATCCTGAATCTTCAAGCAAGATTTTAGTTTCTACACAGCTTTCAGCCAAGCTAAAGATTTTTCTTCTGGAGAAGTGCAGGGTTATTAATGACAAATGGAGGGCATCACACTCATGGAAATAAATTGATACTTGACATGTGTGACCTAAATTATATATGACATTTGAAAATTTATTAAATACAATAAGTAAGAAAAATGCCCTCTCAGCACTAAGCAAAATTACTAAAATATCCCCAATTTCACTGCCAGGAATTCAGATGAACTGTCTGGTCTGGCTGGCTTCAGTGCAAGTGAAACCACAAATTCTGATGACTTATAAATAATCCTAAACAGCTAAAATCAACAGAATTCTTGGTAACAGAAGTGGGTGGTTTGCTTGTGCTGAAGATCCAGGAAGACAGTGTTGAGAAAACCTATTCTAGGCCTAATGCTGGTTAATACATAGTCACTGATCCCCAAAGAAACAACTCAAGGTAACACTCTAAATGCTCTGCAAACTTCAGACTGTTAGCTGTGCATTTATTTTGCCAAGTACATTCTCAGGCACAAAGACTGGCTCATTTTAGAGGTGGTTTCTTTTTATAAATAAGGAGCCTTATGGGGACACGGTAAAGAAATGTCCCTGTGTCTCGTGCAGTGATGCAGTTTGCCTTTTACCACTACTGAAAGCAACACTCTCCTCTCCTCTTCAGCCAGTCTTCCAACACCTGCAGAGAAGTTCAAATCCTTGCCCCACAGCTCTCATCACCAGTCAGACAAGCTGGACTAGAAACAGTAAGAGAGTCTTTGAAGTGTGAACTGTACTTTCCCCAGCTGCTAGCCTTCTGCTGACCACAGGAGACCCCTTGAAGGCAATTCCATAGCCCATTTAACTTCCTAATGGAAGTCAGAGGACTGCTGTCCTTTTATAGAAGGCGCCTCACAGCACACTCCAGAATGGAAAGAGGCTAGAATCTCTGTGACAACCCATGCGAGGGGAAACCAACACTGACATTTAGAAAGGAGGGGGTATGTAAACAATGCCAGTTTCATTCTGACAGTGTACTTGCTCCTAATCTCACTTCAACATTCTCTCTTCCTCTTGACCATAGTTAAGTAAGATCAGTTCTCAGAAATCATTGGCCACAGCATATAATACTTACGGATATCCTCGGGTTTTCCTCTTGCCACTGGAATGAAGGAACTCTTTTCTATAGGACTCTGGAGTGAAGGGATTAATATTAACCAGAGCTAATGAGGTCCTTTCATCTGTTACGGAGACAGGTGTGAGCCTAAAATGCTTAGAGCCTCTGGAGGGCGGCTTCCCTGTTGAAGAAATCATGGCCTGGCTTGGCTGGCCCTGAGGATGACATAAGGCAAATTAGTATGATGTTAGTTAAAAAAAAAAAAAAAAAGTTCCCCATCAGTTAGCTAGTTAATATTTGAACCATTATTATTGCTGAAAGGGGTTTTGAACATTATCTGGTTCAGAGCAAACTAGTTGCTTCATAATTGGTCCTCTGATGAAAAATACAGATTCTATCTATCACTAGATATTTTGATTCATGGGACCCACACAGGAATCTACTGTCATTACACTCTCCCTCTTTCCCCTAGGCACTTCTGATAACCAGCTTGGAAAACCACCAAATTGAGTTTCACCTCCAACTTTTTAAGGATGACATTTAAGCTTAGACAAATGAAAATGATTTTAGAGGACCCGGTCCTTATGTCTCAGAGTGGGTACTTTAACTCATCATTTATTGAAATAAGTTGTTTGCTGCTTACTAAATAGCTAATTCTGAGCTGGGTGCTGTAAGAGGTGCAGGGAAGAATTCTAGCTTTTAAATGCTCCATTAAGTAGCTGTTCATTGATGTTTCAGAAATAATCACTTTATAAGGGGACTATTTCAAAGACTCAGCATGGAAGAAAATATTTCCAATTCCTCTTAAAATGTAGGCACCAAATGAGAAGAGTTCCATGAAGTGGGATTAAAAAAATGCTCTAAGCCAGTGGTCGGCAAACTGCGGCTCAAGAGCCACATGCAGCTCTTTGGCCCCTTGAGAGTGGCTCTTTCACAAAATACCACGGCTTGCGCAAGTCTGTTTTGAATAAGTGGTGTTAGAAGTTTAAGTTTAAAAAATTTGGCTCTCAAAAGAAATTTCAATCATTGTACTGTTGATATTTGGCTCTGTTGACTAATGAGTTTGCTGACCACTGCTCTGAACCCTTGGGCTATAAGGCTTTAACTAATAGTCAATGAGAAGAAAATGTGCAGGACTTACCACTCCAAGCAGGTTACAGTAAGAGAACACAGGCCCAAAATGTACCCAAAACTAAACAAAAAGGCAGAGGGTAGAGCACAAAGACAGAGAATTCTGATGAGACAACAGAATGCTATTATGACCTAACTAGCAAGGGCCAGAGGAATACCTGTGTCATAGGCCTTCAAGAGTACATGGTAGACATAGGGGCCATGACAAACCTTGTAGTATAAGCATTATACTGTGAGCTTTTTCTTAAAGAATTCTACTATCTCATAGTCTCTGCCCATGACTTTTCAATGTAGAAGCAGAAGGTAGGTCATAACATAATTCACTGCATGCAAATGTAATTTAAAGAATGTGAGGCTACAAAAAATGAATATTGAACTTATACCTATTCACTAAGTGATTGATACAAGCAGAAATAAAGGAAACACACTTAATAACAACATTTTAAAATTGATTTTAGAGAGAGAAATATTGATGTGAGAGAAATATCAATCCCTTGCCTCCTATACGTACCCCAACCAGTGATTGAACCCACAACCTGGGTATGTGACCTCACCGGGAATCAAACCTTCCAGCTTTCAGTGCACAGGATGATGCTCCAACCAACTGAGCCACACTGGCCAGGACACTAACATTTATTGTTTTTTTTTTTTTTTTTTTAATGAAGAAAAAGATGTCATTGCCAAAGTTGATTTTTTTTTTTTTAACAAGGGCTTTATATATGTTTTAGAATTCAAAGGATGAACCACCCTGGGGCTATTGTCAGAGAAAATCACCAATGACAAAATCAGTCTTCCTGTAAGTTTATTATAGGGCTGAGTATTGGTTCAAAAGAAGTACAACTGTATAATATTTCTGTTGTCAATGTGATTCAGGAAATGGACCTAGAATGATAGTGAATCATTATCTGAGAAGGGTTTTTGTGATGCTGATCCTTGTATAGAGAGTAAAGCACATCTATCTTCTATGAAACAGTAGGGCATCCACACCTGGAATGCTGCACAACTCTGGCTGCCACACCCCCAGGACAGCAAAAAGGGCCTGGACATTTTTCAAATAAAGGAAGGAAAAATGTTCACTTCAGGGCAGATAATGTCAGAATTCCTAGTTTGGAAAGTGAAGGCTGGTAGATTCTACTTAAAATAGAGGAAAGGATATTAGTTCTATTAATAAAGATTGAATTGCCAGAATGACAGAATTATGAGTAATCCTTTTGAAACCTATAAGAACATAGTTTTGGATCAGAGTCATGAAAGGAATTTCATGAAAATAAATCAGATTGAAAGTTTCTGGAAAGATGGACCAGGTTGAGAGTATAAATATGGTCCAGAAAGTGGAGCTAATTCCATAAGTTTAACAGCTCCATTATAGATGATTTAGAGAAAGAAAGGAAGTATGGGTGACTTCTGAAGATGGTGTGAGAAGAAGGGCAACCTTCCACTAAGGCACAACATCACAGTGTCTTGGGACTGGGAAAAAATTTAAAGGCCCAGTCACTATAATCAGTGCCCTGATGCTCGAATCCCTTCTATGTCTCTATCAAGTGGTCATTCAGTGACAAGGGCCTTACTACCTTATAAGAAAGCTCTTCTATCTCTCTACATCCTGCTAGGAAGTCCCTACAGTGAGCTGAAGACATTCTGGGTGATTTCTGACCCTATCCTTTGTCAAGGCTAAACTAAACCAATATTCCTTCCCTATGCATCATCCTTGACTTTGGTATAACATCTCCAATTAATATTGCTGTAGCTTCCCTCCTCTGACCCTGAGCCAAACTATAAAGTATGTACTTTCCTAGTTGAATTTCCAGTTTCCCTTCCATACTCTGTCCTCTGCCTGTCTCTCAAATCTTGGCATTATTCAAGACCCCTAACTCAAACCACTACTCTCCTTAGGCGACATGAACTTATCCAACCAAGGCTTCCACAGCTCCCTAAATGCTGATGGTGCCCAGATATTGATCTCCAACTCATATTGTCTTCCTGTACTCCAGACACATTTATCCAATTATTTGCACGACATCTATGCTTTTTTCCAAACCTGTACATCCTCTAGTGTCACCTGTCTTAATTCAAGATACCATGTACTCAAGCAAGAAGCCTGGCTGCACCCCAGCTCTCTCTTCTTCCATCACCTCCTTCATAAAGTCAATTACCAATTCCTAAACATCCCTCAATTTATTGCTGTTGTAACTCAAGTCCTCCTCCTTTCTCAACAATTCCACTGCGAATACTGCCCTGCCTCCAGGATCTCTCCTGCTCCATTCCATCCTCCACATGAAGGTCATGATTTTTCAAAGGTGCCTCTGCTCAAAACCATTTAATAACCTTCTCCACACTTAGGATAAAGTCTTTTTTTTTAAAAATATATTTTATTGATTTTGTACAGAGAGGAAGGGAGAGATATAGAGAGCCAGAAACATCGACGAGAGTCATCAATCAGCCGCCCCTTGCACACCCCCTACCGGGGACATGCCCGCAACCAAGGCACATGCCCCTGACCGGAATCAAACTTGGGACCCTTCAGTCCCCAAGCCGACGCTCTGTCCATTGAGCCAAGCCAGTCTTGGCAAGGATAAAGTCTTGATCTAGCTCCTGCCTAACAACTTTGGCATCACTGCCTGCACTCTCACATGTACAGACCCTGTCACTACTGAGTAACATGCAGTTTTCCATGGTCTCTCCCCTTGACAATTTGGTAGATGCTTTGGTCTCAAGTGCTCATTGACCTCCTTCTTTGCCTGGTGACCTCCAAACGCATTCTTTAAGACTTCTCTCAAACACTGGTCTCTTGGTAAAGGCTTCTCTGATATCTTGAGACTTAACTTCTAATTTTTTCTCATCATGTGGTACCACTTCTCTAACATACACCATCTAAACTTTAATTATTGTTTCGATATTGTATGTATCTTTATTTTGTGGGCACTCTTTGAAAGCAGTAAATGGGTGTGACAGCAGAGGGTCAGCTAGCATATCGAGGTATTCAGTTCACTTTTAAATGAATGACATATACACACCATGTCATGTTTTCTCACCTGTGTACTTTTTCTCAGCACTATATTTTCTCAGGCCACTCTCTACTCTCTATATGTTAAAACCATACCAACTTCATATGCTTCCTTCACCTTTATTTCTTATCTGATCACCACTGAGAAGCAATCTACTCAGTGAACGCTGACCACTCTTTTTAAAATATATATTGACATATATATTTTATTGATTTTTTACAGAGAGGAAGGGAGAGGGATAGAGAGCCAGAAACATCGATGAGAGAGAAACATCGATCTGCTGCCTCCTGCACACCCCCTACTGGGGATGTGCCTGCAACCAAGATACATGCCCTTGACCAAATCGAACCTGGGACCTTTCAGTCCGAAGGCTGAAGCTCCATCCACCGAGCCAAACCGGTTTCAGCATCTCAGGCCACTCTCTACTTTCTATATGTTAAAACCATACCAAATTCATTGATCTTCATATGCTTCCTTCACCTTTATTTCTTTCCTGATCACCACTGAGAAGCAATCCACCCAGTGAACTCTGATCACTCTTGAAGCACCTGTTACGTAGTGTCTATAGGCACATCTCTTTCTCAGAGACTGCCTTATGCACCTTGACCACAGTAGGTTCTCAAAAAAACAAACAAGCAAACAAACAAAAAAACAATCAGTGGATGATTGATTGGTGGGTACTGGGACCATTGAAAAACCCACCGATGGACACCAAAGTAGTTTGTCTACAATTCAGACAAGAAACTTAGTTATTTCCTGTAGACACAGTGCCCACACTCAGCAGGCACTAAAGAGACCTGCTGGCAGTGACTGTGCTACAATCAGAAGCACAGATATTATGATGATGAACTTAAGTACCTCAAGCTGAGCCAGCAGAAAGTAGAGCTGATACCATTCCTGAGACTCACACACCACAGCACCAGGCTGTTAGAGGTAGCCCTGTCCCAGCCCTGGCTTGAATAACAACAAAAAAATGTAGCAGGAGACCAGTTACAACAAGACTAGAGGAATATGCCAACTACTCAGGACCTTTGCTTATCGGCATCCTCGGCTTCTATAGAAGTGTCACAGGTTCCCTCTTTGCTCACATAATAATGGAAGAGCCTGAACACTACAGGGCCAGGGAGGGGAGAAGACTTCCCTCTGGGCAGAGCAGCCACAAGGAGATATGAATATGTTCAAATAGAGAATGTGAACATTCTTATATTAGGAAATGTGAGTACATAATCATTAAAAAAAATAGTTGGTATAATGGAAAGAATAGACTGAGACAAAAAAAAAATCAGGTTTCTAGTCCTGTCTCTGCCATTGACCTTGATTTTCTCCTAGATCTCTTATATTCCTTCCAGTGCTGATGTTATTTAACTAGGAACTTTCCCCCACACCCAACATTTATTTGTGGCCTCCGCCACATAATTGCTGGCAGCAGTGGCTTTGGGAAGACAGCTGGCAAGACATTTAATTCTGTTTTCTGATAATTTGAAGCTCTTGTTTATTTTTACCAGTAAATACGGAATTGGGGATAATCCATCCTAAACACATAATGGACCGGTCCTCTTTTCTCTAATAGCTGAATTGAAAGAACCTGGGTCCCTCGCCCCAAAACTTACTCACTTTAGGAGTAACAGGACTCTCACAGTACAGCAGCTTGCTTCTGTCATCAGGCTGGGCTGGTGTAGTAGGCCACTTGGGCGGTTCTGACACCAGGGTCCCCAAAACAGGCTCTGGAGTCACTCGGCCTTTTCCCTGAAATGTGCGGAGTTTGTATTCATCCTTCAGGGGTGTTCTGGGTGGTGTAGACAGGGGTATTCTGGGTGGTGTAGACATGGCCTCTGAATCCTCGAGTTTAGACTGCTCTGGGGTGAGGGCCTGGGCCTCGCAGCCCTCCTGTGCTTCCTTCTGCTCTTCATCCTCATTCTCTTTCTCACAACAGGAGAAGTTTAATTTCTGCTTCAGTTCTCTGTTAATATTGCCGTCATCCATCTCAGCCAAAGAACTTTCCACGGTAGGCGAGAAGGCCTGTCAGAGGGGCACAGTATCGAGATGTAGAAGTAGGGAGGTGAGAGCCTAAGCCAGCAAGCCCGCCTTTCCCTCTGCTCACTCACCGCTGCATGAGGCACACCCTTCATTTTCTCCCTTAAGTACCACGTGTCCTACACTTTCAGCTTGTCCCTATTTTCATTCTGATTAAAGAAAGCACCAGCAATGCTTTGAGTAATTAAATTCAATTTACTTTAAAACTCTTGTGGACATCACACAGAGACTCCCTGCACCCATGTGCTACAAGCTCATTATTAGAAATAAATTATTTTCACTTTTATATCTCCCCCTTTCCCATTTCCCCCCAACTCCCTCACCTGTCCCCCTCTCTTCCACTTCCCACCCATGGCTAAGAGGAGTTCATTAGAATTCAGCATCACCTGGGTGTAATAATGATCCGTAAGCAGCCTCTAACATTTCCAGGCTGGAGTTCATCTCCCAAATGGACACACACACCTTAGGTCTTTGCCGGATACATCTGCCTTAATTTCAGCACCCCAGCCACCCTCCCAACTCCAGGTATTGACAGTTAAAACTTTTAAGGCATCAGACAACTTATCAAATTGACAAAAGAAAAGCTATCATAGAACAATCAGTAACACAGAGAAGCAGATATATATCCCTTGAAAATGGCTATTATTTAGTCCCGAAAGCCTTATTTTGTAAAACAAGTTTTCTTGCAGTTTGGATAATCTTTAGCACACATTATTCAATTTCTTTCTCAGAGAGGCACCCCATCCTTCTCCACCATCTCTCCCTCCCCTCCTCTCCGCGCAGGAAGTATAAAAATTCTTTGAAGAAAAAAAAAAAAAGTCACCCATACCACTTTTTAAAAATATATATATTTTATTGATTTTTCACAGAGAGAAGGTAGGGGAATAGAGAGCTAGATACATCGATGAGAGAGAAACATCGACCAGCTGCCTCCTACACACCCCCTACCGGGGATGTGCCCACAGCCAATGTACATGCCCTTGACCGGAATCGAACCTGGGACCTTTCAGTCCCCAGGCCGACTCTCTATCCACTGAGCCAAACCGGTTTCGGCACCCATACCACTTTTTAAGGTTCTCCACCCAGTAGCCAAAGGGATCCTTTTTAAAGGATTTATTCTCAGATCCTCTGGGGCCTCACACTCCCTCAGATTCACAGCCAGAACCCGGTACCAAGGCCCACAGGACCTTAGGATCCACCCCACAGCCTGATTCCTTACACATTCAGCTCCAGACTCCTTCCTGTCCCTCCAGATGCCAGTCTCCCCCACACGTCTCACTACTGGGCTTCCTCCAGTTATCCCCTCAAAGAGGTTTTCCCATAAACCCCACATAATCCCCATTACCCATCCTCTGACCCCTTATGCTGGGTCACATTTCTTCACAGCACCCGGGCTATCATATATTACATATCTAAAGGTTCATTTAAAAAATCCTGTCTCCCCTGTCTCACCCCCAATAGAATCTAAATCCCATCAGGAAAGGGACTTAATTCTTATTTGATGTTCTATCTCCATTACCTGGAATAGGGCTTGACACATGGTATGTACTGTGAATCAAGGTACATGCTATACATTGTATTGTATCCTCATGATGGACACTATAGTTGAAGGAATATCATTTATGAGCTTTCAAATTTTTAATTTCCAACTCCAATGCAAATTTCAGAGGCCTGAAAGGCAGGGATATGTTGAATTTAAGTAACTCAGTAACTTTGAATATATAATCTATTTTATCAATTCCTACACCAATCTGAGCTCAGCCTCTGAGGTATATGAGTTACTGTTCTTTCAACACCACATGCCTGCAGCCCAGATGATTTGGGAGAACTGAAGAGAAATATTAGTGCAGATGTGTCTAACATTACAGCTACTATGGTCTAATGCATGAGATAGATGTTAGGAAGTCGGGAATCTGAGACAGATCAGGAACCCCAGGAAGTCTCTGGGTGGCTTTGGGTCCACAGTGTCCTGGGACAGATAAGGGTGTAGATAGTCCCTAAACCATTAGAAAGATTATTTTCTTCATCATCTCCACACACTTTCTTAATTTCACCCTGTTACACATCAGCTTATCCCAGAGTCTAAGCTCCTATCTGGACCAGTAGTATTTGCCCTAGTCAACTAATTGTGCAAACTGATCATGCATGGGCAGAAACCTCACCTGGTAGGGAGTCTGCTCCTGGTAGAGAGAATAAATTTGTTGATTCTTCTCTAGAAAATATGTAATTCTTGTGCCTTCTGAAAGGGGAAAAAATAGCTCACTTTTTGGGGAGAAACTGGATAAAATGATTTTAAATCTAACAAGGAAAAATAATTGTCGAAGCAATGGCAGAAGACTTAGAGTAGACTACCTCTCTCAGAAATAAAACTAAATTATACCTGCATATTGTTTTTTAAAATATATTTTTATTAATTTCAGAGAGGAAGGGAAAGGGAGAGAGAGATAGAAACATCAATGATAAGAGAGAAATATTGATCAGCTACCTCCTGCACACCCCAGAGGCCACAACCCGAGCATGGGCCTTGATTAGAAATCAAACAGTGACCTCCTGGTTCATAGGTCGACACTCAACCAGTGAGCCACACCGGCTATATTATTTTATGCACATATACCTAGTGTGGTGCTAGTATAAGAATAGACAGGTCAATGGTGAAGAATACATGGAATATATCAGTAATTTAATATTGTACCTTAAAAGGGAATTACAATCATAGGACTCAGAAGGTTTTTTTTTTTATAAGTGGTATAGCCATTATTGGGTAACTATTCAATTAATAAAATTTAGAGTCTTATTTTATATCACATAAATATGAATAGATTAAGATATCAAATGTGAGCCGGTTTGGCTCAGTGGTAGAGCATCGGTCTGTGGACTTAAAGGTCCCAGGTTCAATTCCAGTCAAGGGCATGTACATTGGTTGCGGGCACATCCCCGGTGGGGGGTGTGCAAGAGGCAGCTGGTCAATGTTTCTCTCTCATCAACGTTTCTAGCTCTTTATCCTTCTCCCTGTTAAATATCAATAAAATATTTAAAAAAGATATCAAATGTGGAAAATAAATCTATAGTAACCAAAAGAAAATAAAACTGAATGTTGATCAAATTTCTGGGTGGGGACCAACTTTCCAAATGTTAAAGCAGCACCAAAAGAATTGCTAACTTTGACTACATAAAATGTAGTCAAATTTTATGTATTTTGAATTTCAACATTTCATCAAGCAATTAAGCAGCATTAAACTACACAGTAAATTAGAAATGATATTAACAAAAATTATTCCAGCCAAAAGATGAATATTCTTAGTGCATACAGAAGTTATGCAAGTTGATAACAAGAGCATCAAGACCCCACATGATAAGTGAGGAACCACAAGTCAATAGCATATACTTGGGAACTAGGATTAGATGCAGTCACAAAACATTATCTCAAAGCAAAATGTCATTTACATCTGAAAAATTGGCAAAAAATATTTTAAGTGGCAATATCTAACTTGTCAGGAATGAAATTAAATTGATGTCCTTACACACTTGTGAGTCAACAATTTGGCAGTACAAGAGAGAACCTTAAGAACATAAATACAGTTTAACCTGGTGTTCCCACCTCTGGCAACCTGTCATAGTCAGCAACCTCAATGGTTGATTGCATTTGCCCTGCCTGTCACCCCTCATTCTAGATTTCCTTTCTTGCTTGCTAGCTGCCTTCCCTGCCAAGCTGTAAGCCTGACGAGAGGGGATGTCTGTCTTCTTCACTGTAGGGCTTGGCAAATAATAGGTATCTAGTGTTAGTTCAGAGTGGAATTCAGCCAACCCTTTAGGCACAACATCAACAACAACAAAGGAAAAGGCTTGATTTTCCAACAATAAGAGTGAGAATGATTAAGTAAATTTTCCAAACATACAATGAAAACCTTTAAAATAATGCATATAAAAAGTCCTAATAGAATTAAAAAATGGTCGTGTCCTGAGGTTAAAGAATAAAAATACAAATGATATACAGTATGATTTCTATATGTAAATATAGAAAAGAAAAATATCTAATTCTATCGTCTATTCTAAGATATACCATTATATTCCTGCCACTAAGAATAAAAAATACCCATGATGGGTAATTAAGATGATACACTGTATACAGCTGTGACAAATAAACCTCCCTTGCAGAGAGGGCCAGGCAAGGAAACTTGTTTCTCTCCACTTTGCTCCACCAAAGAATTTGAAATATAATCTAGGGATCAACTTAGCTTGCATCTTAAATTTATACTACCAGTGTGGTTCAAAGAACCTCAAGCAGAGAATTTAACTAGAAATAGCCTCAGTTTGGTGGTGTCTCCAGATGGCTGACAAAGGCAAACACAGATCTCCTCTGTGAGACCAGGACCTCCGTGGGGCCTGCAGCAATGGCGAGTCACCATAGCAATGTGAACAAGTAAACATTTTGCTTCCTAGAATTGATGAACTAGGACAAGCAAACCTTACCAGGGGCCAATCAGTGGTGAGGTTATAGATTAAAGGTACTTTAATGTAATGTATTTTATATACACTTTATTTATTTATTTATTTATTTATAAAATATATTTTATTGATTTTTTACAGAGAGGAAGGGAGAGAGATAGAGAGCTAGAAACGTCGATGAGAGAGAAACATCAATCAGCTGCCTCTTGCACACCCCCTATCGGGGATGTGCCGGTAACCAAGGTACATGCCCTTGATCAGAATCGAACCTGGGACCTTTCAGTCCGCAGACCGACACTCTACCACTGAACCAAACCAGTTTCAGCTCACTTTATTTTTAAGTATATTTTTATTGATTTCAAAGAGGAAGGGAGAGAGACACCAATGATGAGAAATACCTCCTACATGCCATGCCCTCTACTGGGAATTGAGTACCAACCCAGGCATGTGCCCTTGAGAACCCCATATGTCAAAATTTTAAAATAAAATTATTTTACTTTCTAAATACTAAATTGTAGAGGTATTTCTATCTTTCCATGTCCAGCATGGAAAAGGAACAGGTTCAGTTCTGAGTGGAGAAGCTGGGGATCCTACCTAATAAAAGAGTAATGTGCAGATTGACCATCACTCGAACACAGAGGATGGCTGCCCCCAAGTGGTCAAAGATCCTGTCCCCAGGTGGACACAAGATGGCCACCACAAGATAGCCAGCAGGGGAGGGCAGCTGGGAGGGACCAGGCCTGCAAAGGAGGGCAATTGGGGGCAATCAAGTCTGCAGGGGAGGGCAATTAGGGGTGATCAGGCCTACAGGGGAGGGGAATTGGGTGTGACCAGTCCTGCAGGGAAGGGCAGTTAGGGAGGACCTAGGCCTGCAGTGGAGAGAAGTTGGGGGGGGGGGGGGATCAGGCCTGCAGGGGAGGGCATTTAGGGGTGACCAGGCCTGCAAAGGGGGGGGGGGAGTTAAGGGTAAACAGGCTGGCAGGGGAGCAGTAAGGCATCAGTCAGTCTGGCAGGGGAGTGGTTAGGGGGTGATCAGGTTGGCAGGCAGAAGTGGTTAGGGGCAATCAGGAAGGCAGGTAGGCAAGCAGTTGGGAGCCAGCAGTCCTGGATTGTGAGAGGGATGTTCCAGATTGGAGAGGGTGCAGGCTGGGCTGAGGGACACCCACCCACTCTGTGCACGAATTTCGTGCACCGGGCCTCTAGTTAAGAAAGAAAGAAAAAGCAAGATGCAGTAATAGGAGCAAGTTGGGAGCCGGGTGGGATGCTGCGCTCTGATGGAGGGACAGGACCCTGAGCCCACGCAGTGCATTTATTTTATATCCCCAAATACCAGGAAGTGTTACCAAAACTTAGGATCAAAGGAGCTTATTTTGTATTCTTGAGTAGGCCCTAGCATTCCTGGTACTTGACTGGATTTACATATCTAGACCCGAAACCATAGGCCCCTGGACAAAGGTAAAAGGTCAGTGCTGATAACACTTTCCGCCTTCTTGGGGAATGTGTATCTGAGATGCGGCTCTGCCAGTCGCCTCAGACTCAGCTGACAACAATTAAAGAAATGCCCACGCTTTCCCAAGCGCTGTCTACACTAAATATATCTTCATTATATAAAATACACTCTCTATAAAAGGCTCTAGGTTTAGGGTTTGGACATTTTGGCTTCCTGTTTATATAGAAAATTGATTGGGATGAGTATTTTGAATTTATTTCCTGGCATATATGCAGCTCAAGGATATTAAACTAAGGGAGGCTGGGCTCACACAAAGATCAGGAAAGGAAAGTCCCTCGGGGGAGAAAGAGGAAAGTCACACCTACAGCTGGTATCTTTGGGAATTGCTTGAGGATTTTCTAGAACCCCTTTTCTGGATTTAAAATAACCTTTTGAATGTCCCAACCCTTGGACAAATCTGGTGGCTACATCACTCATTTACAGGAGGGGGAAATAAGAACTAGGAATAGCTATTAAAATAATGAGAAAAACCATGATGAGGAGAGGGACTTGTTCAGATACCTAATTCATCCAAGGTTCAGGAAGGCGGGCAGCTTGCCCTCTCAGAAGGACCCAGTGGTCTCATGCTGTGCTACACAGAGGGTGTTTATGAAGATTCTCATCCTACGTGCCAGATAGGCAATGATAATATGACTTCACCCCTCTTCCCAAGGAGATACTCAATGACTGTCCAAGGCTGCTACTTCCAGGCTGAAACTATGACAGCACAATAAAGAATCTACGCAGCATTTCCCCAAAAAAGAATAGCAACTGATTTAGTCATTTATAGATTTAGTTCAACCTCTCCCATTAACCTCCCTCTCCCCCACTCCACCAGGACAACTGACCACCACGCTCTGTGGAAACGGTCTGAAATGGGTGGGGAGCTCCAAAGTCCAGGAAGGCCAGGGCCAGGACACTATCTGGCTCTTTCCAGGGCACACCAGCCTGGGTTACAGACACACTACCCCAGGCCAGACCCCAAAGCACCCAGCTCCAGGACACCAACCAGCCCCATCCCAAGCCCTACAGCACCCTGCTGCTGTCAGTGCTCCCTCTCCACTTCCCAGCACAGCGGAGGCTCTGGCCCCGCACATCCAGGATTATGTAATGCACATCTGTCATGGCCCATAGGACAAGGGGGCTTTCAAAAACAATGGTGATCTGTAAAACTGCACGGTGGGACAGTTATCCCACGGAATTGTAAGAAGGCGCCATAAGCAAGGCACAGGTAACTAGATCCAGGTGGATGCGCGGACTGTCATCGCACATTTCCTGTACCCGAGCCCGTAGGCGTCCGTGCACCCTCAAACCTGGGCACGGAGTCCAGCGAAGCCTGGGGGAGGGGACGCCCGCGGGAGTGCAGCGGGCCGGGCGGGGCCGCGGGGCAGGTGCGGGCGCGGCGGAGGGCGCGGGCCGCGGGCGGCGGGCGAGGGGAGCTCCGCAGCAGCCCGCCCCTGCGCCCGCCCCTCCCGCCCGCGGCTCCTCCTCGCTTCGCCATGGTGGAGCGGGGCGACGCGGCGCCGCTGCTGCGCTGGGCCGAGGGCCCCGCCGTCTCCCCGCCGCAGGCCCCGGAGCTGCAGGCTGGGGGCCGGGGCCGGGGCGGGGGCGGCCGGGGGCCCGCGGAGGCGCCGAGGCGGCGGGAGCCCCAGGAGCTGGGCGCCCCCGAGGTGCTGCTGCAGCCCGGGCGCCTGGAGCTGGGCGACGTGGAGGAGGACCAAGTGGTGGCCGTGTTCGTGGTCACCTTCGACCCCCGCTCGGGTGAGAGCCTTTCCGAGAGACCCGGGGTGGGAGGGGGGGTGTCGCCCCCAAACCAGGGCTGGGGGGCGGCGGCGGGGGAGGGGCTGGCTGCGCGCGCACCCGCACCTACACACCTGCACCCCACCCCGCGGCGGGCTCCCGCGGAGGGAGCCGGGTGTCCCCGGCAGGGTGTCCCCCTGAGTTTGGGCGCGGGACGCGGGGCTTTGTTCCCGGCGCCCCCAGACCCCCTCTCCTCCCAGCCAGGCTGCTGCTTCGCTGTCCGCAGTCCGCGCGCCCATCCTCGCTGCGTGTTTGTGCTGCGCCGATAGAGGGTCTTGTTTGTGGCTTTTGTTTTCTTTTCTTGCTGGGCTAAGAAGAGGGATCCCCCCCCCCCCCCCCACACACACACACACACACTTTAAGAGTTGGACCGTCCCTCCTGAATCTGAGCGTCCTGTGCTTCCTGCCCTCGCTCCCCACCTGTCCCTAACTCTGCCAGCAGCCAACTTTACTTTCTCTGACCTTATTGTGTTTAGGAATTAATGCCGGCGGCATTAAGGGGTATGATTGGGGAGGCTGAGCCGGAGAACGATTAAAGAAAGGGGAAGCCTACTCTGGTAGGCTCTTGCCGGGTTATTTGGCGATTAAAGGGTATGGGCACATGACCCTTAGTCGGCCACCCAGTCAGGAAGTGCATGTGCCCTGTCCTGGCGGAGGACCTCCCGGGGGTCAGGGTGAGTGAATAGAAGATCCTCTCTCAGCCGGCCCTGGCCGCCAGGGGCCTCTCACCGAAAGAGCTGCTTTGTGGTTACTAATTGGAGGCAGGAGAGCGGAGGCCGTGATTCTGTGGTCTAGGAAAGCCCAGGTGTGTCTTTGTGCCCATCACTCCGGCGGAGTTACAGGAAAGTGGAGTGCCTATTAATGAAGGGTATAGATAGCACTTGTTTCTGGAATCCCCCTTCTGGCCCTCCATCAATGAGCAGGGATCCCATTAGGAAGAATTTTATGGGTGCCATGCAGAGAACAAAAACGAGTAAGGACTCTGCGGTGGGGATGCAGGCAGGCAGGAGATAGGTCCTGGCAGGGTGCTGTCACTTTGGTCAGGGGTTACCAGCCAACAAGACACAGGAAGTGACAGTTCTTGGGGAGGAGACCAGGCCATTCTGACTGTTGCTTGGCCCCATCCAAATGGCTTTCAAACTTTTTTTTTTTTTTTTTTACTATGACCCATCCTATGAAATTAACTTTACATCACAATCAATACATTCATATGGAGACATATGTAACTCAAGACAAATGTTTCATGAAATAGTACCAATCCCTTCTATATGTAGTGCATATTCCTATTCCATTTGTTAAATAAAATAAAATAAAATGTTTTTAAATGCTATTCGCATATAGTTAGGCCTTCCAGATACCAGTAGTTTGAAAAACTGCTTTTTTTTTTTTTTCTTTTTAAACCAAAGTAACCCTTCCTGTTAGGCAAAAACAGATAACTTTGTAACTAATAATATTCATTATGCCCTACCCCATCACCTGCAAGTAAATATAGCAGGACCTCAAGTAACATTGTTCGTTCAACTAGTTTGATTAATAACGTTGATGGGGTGGAGTGGGGGGAACAGTTCTTGGCTTGGCTAGGGCCACCATCTGTGGAGTTTTCACATTCTCCCTCTCTCTTCCTGGGTTTACTCCAGCCCCACCCCCACCCCTAACCCTACCCCAGAGATGCACACATGAAGTGAAGGGCATTTCTCAATGGTCCCCGTGTGAGTGTGTGGACATTAGTGTGTCCTGCCATGAAAGGGCATCCTGTCCATGGTGGGTTGTCACCTGTGCCCTGAGCTGCCGGGAGAGGCTCCAGCCACTGGCCACCCTTAACTGGACCCTTTGTATTAATTTTCCCTAAATGCATGTATAGCTAACATTTATTTCAGTGTTTAATATTTGAAACATTTGGGTCTTTAGAACTTTGGTGATGTTTTTGTTACCAGAAATATGGGATAGTCGCTTAATTCTTTTTTTATATCAATTAGCCTTCGGTAAAATTGGTTTTGTTGTATGTCATTTTGCTTTAAAGTCACAGTTTCCAAAACCCTTGAGACAATGTTCAGTGAGGCCTACAGCTGATGGGAGCGTAAGATTCATTCTGGAAAGTATTAAAGAGTAATAGGAGAAATGGGACGTTAACAGTGATTCAGTGGTGGTAGTTCGGATGGCAGAGTGGAGGGAGGGGAAGGAGAAAAGAAAAAAAAAATCCTGTGTTAATCACAGGTGGAGTTGATAAAATTGAAAGGCAGATCTGGGACCCACCCACCCTTGTCAGTCACAGCTGGTGAGCATGGTTTTGTGGGTTTGTGTGATGTAGACACAGGTGTGTTTGTGTAATGGTTTTCAGATCAAGGTTAGTGTGGAAAGAAGGCATTGCAAATGATACCTGGACACTTTATATAGGCAGGCGTTTTACTACAATGGTGTTTCATTTAATTCTAATCACCGCTGTTATTTGGTGATCATTTATACCCAGTTTACACATGAGAGTATAATTCTTCTGGTTACAGAAGACAGTAATTCCTTTATACATTTAGATACAAGGTTTGGAAAGCTGGGTTGGGCATCTGTAGGAAAAATCCGAGAGACATAAAAAGATGTTCTTTTCATGGTTGAAAATGATAGTTGTTGGATCTACAAATGATGTGAGGACTTAGGAGCTTGCGAGTGTGTGCACATAGACACACAAACACACACACACACACGGACATTCACACACTCCGTCTTTATCTGGAGCAGGGAGGCCCTAGAATGGCAGTGCTGGCCATCTGGGCTACAAAGCTGCTATTGAAACTGGGCCCAGATGCTAATGATGCAAGCTGGTGGGAAAGGTCGGCAGCCAGAATATCGCTTTTTCATGTGTTCAACCCTTTATTTAGAGCCTTGATTTAAAGTTTTAATTTGCTCTTTGGGTTTCTAGTAAAATGTTCTTTTCTCTGCTTAATTAAGGGAAAAGACATTGTCACATTTGGAAATCATGCCTCTCTCTGGAAGTGACATAGCTGTCTTACCATGAGACTGAGGACTTGTGTGTGGGTAGGCCTGAAGCAGATACAGCTTTGGACCTACAAAGCATGACACCTGTGAATCTGCCCCATTGGGCTATTTCTTTATGAGATTCTCTTTGAATGGCTACATTTTCTCCAGAGGTATTTTGTGGATGTGTGGGTGTGGAAATTTCTGTACTGTGTGTGTGTGTGTATGTGTTGGGGGGGAGGATGGCTGAGGGAAAGAGAATCCAATGAGGTTTTTAAAATGTTTCTTTTCCCTTTGTTCTCCTGATTAGGGATGAATTGCTACCTGGTCTTCCCTCAGTCTCTATCAGTGCCTAAATTACATTTAAACACCTATTTAGTTTAGTGCATCTGAATGCTCTGTATTTATGTCAAATGAGTGTACAAAGATCACTAACACTAATTCAGTGATTCTCAACCTTTCTAATGACGCGACCCTTTAATACAGTTCCTCATGTTGTGGTGACCCCCAACCGTAACATTATTTTCGTTGCTACTTCATAACTGTAATGTTGCTACTGTTAATGTATCGTAATGTAAATACCTGCGTTTTCCGATGGTCTTAGATAACCCATAGGTTGAGAACCGCTGCTGTAGAGCCTAAGACTATCGGAAAACACAGATATTTTCATTTCACTTCATTAACAGTAGCAACATTACAGTTATGAAGTAGCAACGAAAATAATGTTACGATTGGGGGTCACCACAACATGAGGAACCTTATTAAAGGGCCGAGGCATTAGAAAGGTTGAGAACCACCGCACTAATTGTAGTCTGCATGCGCTTTCTGTGTAGTCAATAGCATATGAGGATTTTCTTTTGAACCGTGGAGATGGTGGAGGTGCACTGGGATTAGGGCTAGGTGTGGTGTCTGAGACATGACTTGGATGCTGCCCAGGTCATCTGACTTGTGCAAACAAGGCTCCAGCCATGGGTGGGAAGGCGACAAAGAGCAATGAGGAAGGAAAATTTGTAGCGTAACTTTGAAATGGGAAGAGCAATCCTGACAATGGCTGGCTGGAATAGGCCAAGAGAAGGCCAGTTCTGAGAGCCAACAGGAAGGTCTTTTAAGATAACTCTGTTGTGTCCTTTCTCTGAAGTTTCCATCTGATGCCAGTGAAATACAGTTGTGGTTAATTTCACTAGTCCCGGAGTGTGGAGCCTTTCCCAGGTGACTCAGCCACTGTGGTTTTCAGGGAGAAGTCAGTTTGTGGCCATCTGCTGTGAATTCTGCTGCTTCTCTTGAAAGTCTATGGAGGGTAAAGCAGAGGTGGGAATTCTAATGCCCACTGGGTATTGAGTGCCCACCGTGTGTCAGGAACTAATCCTTCCAACAATCTAGACTGTAATGGTGAGAAAAACTGATGAACCGAGCCTACGTCATCTTACTCACAGGGTGGAGAGGGACAGAGCGATCCAGGCCAGCCTGTCTCCAGTGCCTGACCTCCTTCCCCACACCACCCGGCCCAGAGTAAAACGATATTGGGTCTGAAAAATGGAAAGGTTTTTCCATGACAGTTGAATGCACTGGAATTCAGGCCTGGATGGCATGTGGCTGACTCAAAATCACCAGGACAAGTTTCTCCCTGCCCCGAGTTTCTTTAAACTGCCTCTTCCTTTGTTTTGGAAATCTCCTCATTCTAAGTGACTTTAAGACTACATATTTAAAACTGGTTAAGAACAAAAAACAAGTGATATGGGCTACTTACTTTTCTGGTGTTGGATTGTGAACCAAATCTTTTGAAGTCTCTCCCACGTGGCGTTGGGGCCATAGATTCTTGCCTTTATTCACAAGACAGGATTCTTCTATTTCCCCACATATACACTGAATGGCCAGATTATTATGATGTCTGAACGCATAATAATCTGGCCTGTCAGTATATATATTAGAGGCCCGGTGCATGAATTTGTGCATGGGTGGGGTCCGGCCAGCCTGGCCAGGGGAAGGGGACATAT